AATATCACAACAGACAATTAATATAACAATTATTGGTCCAATGCTTAATAGTAAATAAGCTCCAATGTGGATATGGGAATTGACATAAACTTATGTCTCCAAATACAGGTAAATAAGGTCTGTCCTTAGGTATGTGATCTAAGTTGATCTCCCAAGACACGTGTATAGCCAGCTCTTCCCAAATTCTGTCATTTTGGGTCTATATATCCCCATGCATCGCCTAGGGCATTAATCCTATAAATCTACAAACAATATACCCTGGTAACTAAACGCTATAGCCCGTTGACGTTAATTATAATTTATAAGCTCAATTTAAAGTTTAAAACAAAGAATACTGGAGACAGGTGATTAATGAAATATATAAGTCAATATGAAGTAGATATAAATGGTGGGTAATTAAGGTGGATTAAGATCCATTAAAATATAATTGACTGAATTATGTAATACTGTGCGGATTAGCATGACGTATTAAACATTTACTATTGAGTCCAAATTCACCCTACTATATTATTGTGGTTTATTAGGATGACTTACTGTAATGAACATTCCTATCTTAAAGTTTTTCAAGTGGATTAATAGCCTTTTGAGTGAACCTGACAGAAATGCCACTGGAGTACTGGAAATAGACAACGAATCGAAGAGAACTCCCGCGTGCACTTAAAAGAATCCTTGGCAGTTGTTATTTAACGAAGGATAAGCGGAAACACGATTGTCTATGCACATGTTCCCTCTTATGTGCCCGTCTTCATTAGCCAGAGGAGTCTGCAGATACTGGTTATAAGCTCTTTGATTGCTCGATATACTTCATAAAAAGAGATATATACAAGTACTAAATTAGTGCCATCTATTTATTTTGGGATTAGGGCAGGTGCACCGGTCTCGCTAAAGGCATACTGTCTGAAAAGAAGTCTTAGAAAGAGTTTAGTAGATTTTGAATAATTATAAATCTTCTCGTTTAAAATGAAATGAAATGAAATGGGGTTTAACGTCCTACTGTTCTGACCCGAACTGGGCTAATGAAGACGGGCATACGCCATACAGTGTGCTGTGAGGGAAACTTTGTCCGGACAGCGGCACTACGGCCTACTCTTATATCGAATTTCAACTGTCAAAGGATCTTTTACGTGCACGGCAATGTGTACACGGGACCTCGGTTTTTGTACCATCCGAACGACTAGACAGCTGTCCTTGTCAGGCCCTCCGTCCTGCATCACCTACAAGGGGGAACCACGCGGGAAAATCTGGATGAACTTTCTCGGCCAATGCAGGGATCGAACACCCGACCTCCAAGCTAGCGAGCCAGCGTCTTACCCACTTAGCCACGTGATCCCCCTTCTCGTTTAAACATTTGGTTTTAGCATCAGTACAGATATGTCCAGATTTTCTCCAATCATCTGCATTCATGTTTTAGTTGATGACGTGAATCATCAAACCGGATCAAACAAACACTACACTACTTAAGAGGCACACAGATAATTGTGTGACACTTATCTGCGATATCATACTAGGTGGATATGGACGTTAAGCCATACACTACTACTACTTTTGCGACGCTATACTTTAACGATGCAAATGGAAACTAAACAAACTTGGATTTGTGTTGACGGAACTTACACATATGTATTGTTCATATGATTTATAAATAATAACATTATCTCGTTCACTTTAATCTGAGATTATCAAACCAAGCGCCGAGCTGGTGTTATCAATCAATACCTCAATTACTAACGCAAACTATGTAATAACACATATCATGGTTTCGCTCTGGTGCTAACCTCCGGAGGATAGTTATTTTCGAATCTCTTTCGACAAAAATAAAACATTAGTTAAACCCGCAGCCATTTAACCAGTGAAATTCTAACAGGAATTGATTGATGTTATTGTTTATTTTGTAGCTAAAACGTTGACATGGACAGCAAAAACAAATCGATGCACATAACCACCTATCCACAACCTAAATTATTCTCAACATCAAATCCTAAGTTTTGGCTTATATTTCCGTGCGGTTGAATCGGGGACCAGCTCCTACATCTCAAAAGGGTTCATATTCAATTAAGTTTTGGATGTTGAAACGGGAACCAGCAACGACAGCTCAAAGGGTTGCAACGTTGGTGTTAAAGTGTTACCGTTTTTGGCCAGCCACATGTTGTAGATCTGTGAACTTTATTTTTAAATTTTACCGATCTTACTACTATGTGTTGTCAGGGATAGACGTTAAGAGTCCGTTGGTGTCGACTTGACAACAACGGGTCTGTCTGCAAAATAATCTAACGCCAACACAAAAGGTAACTTCACCTAATGTTACATGGCTTACACATCCTTAAAAATCAATATTTCCCATTAAAAATCATACTGCTGGAGGTAATTAGAAATATATTTCAGGGATTTGCATTTAGAATAGACAAAAGTTACTCATTTCTTTATTACAGGAAATGACTTAAAAGTCTACTTTTCAAACGCTTATCTTTAAAGATTAAACTATGAAGATTAAAAGTAATGAGGTAATTTTCGTGTTACCTATCACATAACACAATCCTTTATACTCAGTATTGCATTTATTTATTCCATTAACTATTAATAACAAACTGGTGTTGCACCTTGATAAGATAGTGCCTTTGGGTAACTTTAAGTAAGAAGCTGTTATTGTGAAGGGTATTGATCGATCACGTAAGGTACCTGAGTCAGCTTTATCTAGCTGACATTTTTCTGTTTATCTTAACATTAGCTTTATTCTGGTACTTTGTCAATTCTCTTTATGGCGCGGTGACTGGCTTGATGTATGCTGCATTCATGCACAATTGTATATTTCTGGGTATTTAAAATGAACGTATATTGAACGTGAGTGCACATTGCTCTTACTCTTTTGTCTTTGTATACTTTTAGTACACGTCCCGAGGTACTACTCTCTTTTCAATTTCCAAATATCAAGGCTTCTTTTGCATGCACGCCTATGTACATACGGGTTGAATTCGGATTTTTGTTTCATCCGAACAATAGGTCTAATTGATAAAAACGGAATATTGTAGGCCAGTTCATCGATCGCTCGACTATATACCATTGGCGTTAGGATTTTCAAACTGCGATAAAAATGTACAACGTATTTTTGAAAGTTATCCAGCATTTAATAATTTAATATACTATATTAATTATGAGTAATTTGTATTGTGCAATGCAGTAATGTGCCACTATCTATAAGTAAAATAACACCGGTTTATTGAAACATCGATAGATTATTATATGGATTGGAACATATCAAACCTTTTTAAGATAATGCGTTTGCACATTAATCAAGTGTTACCAGACTAAAGCACTCAGTACTGATATTCATCATCAGGTAACGCCTAATCGACTCATCAATCTGTGGCAAATCTTTATCATATAATTATTTTAGATGTGTGGTGGAAGCCCCATAGCTTTAACAATATAATGTTTTTAATCTTCTTTTGAGAAATGAAATGAAATGGGGTTTAACGTCCTACTCTTTTGCTCCGAACTGGGCTAATGATGACGGGCATACGCCATACAGTGTGCTATGAGGGAAATTTTGCCCGGACAGCGGCACTGTGGCCTACTCTTATATCGAATTCCAACTGTCAAGGTGTCTTTTACATGCACGCCAATATGTACACGGGACCTCGGTTTTTCGTCCTATCCGAACGACTAGACAGCTGTCCTTGTCAGGCCCTCCGTCCTGCATCATTGACAAGGGGAACCACGCCGGAAAATCGGGATGAACTTTCTCGGCCAATGCAGGGATCGAACACCCGACTTCCAGGCTAGCGAGCCAGCGTCTTACCCACCTCCAATCTATGGACATCTTTATCATGCGATGGAAACTCCATAGCTTTAATAATATAATGTTTTTAATCTTTTCAGAGAATTTATAATACAAAATCACGTTATTGTTATATATGCCTTCCCACGTAAACAGTACTGTCTTATTTGTTAAAATATTTAGACGAAAACATATTCAAACTAATTTGTCTATCAAAAGTTTTCTTCAAATCCCTCTCAAAACATTTTAATCGAAAACAAAATATCCGCCTTGTCTATTACCTGACTTGATTGGGGGAGAATCCATCCCCGCTTGTGTCTGCCCATCATAAATATCGAAGCCTAAGTAAATTCCTGGATTATCATGTGCTAATTGCAGAATTTACTGGACGTTCAATTCTCTCCATGTTATCACAACCGTTAACCATTAGATCAACAGATATGAAGCTTTTTTTACGTCACTCTAGGAATACTTTTACATTTCTGTCGTGTGCGCGCCCCATGGATGTTGTTCAGGGAACCCAGTATTTTTCTATTAAGATTGGGTGTTTCTAATTTCCATATACATGTATATCACAATAGCTATATATTTATTGGAAAAAAAATAACTCCCCGATAAATTCTTGCGTGGGAATGTATCTTTTGTATGGTTTACTGCAAAAGAAAGAATCTTCATGTCAGAACCTATTACCGATAAAATATTAACCATTGTCATGGTTCAACAGTGCTGATTTGATACAGGCATATCGTTATACTACCCTGAGTGTTCATATTACATTTTACGATTAACATTAATCTCACTAACAAACCCAACTGATTTGTGCGCTGACAATATGAACCCGTGAATTTTCCAGCTTCTGTTGCCATCCAGGATATCCAATCGTGGTGAAGTATGTACTTTTTGTTTGATGACGATTTGGCCTGTGGTTGGCAAATAAATGGAAAATGGTTTAGCGGTAATTTGAACCTAGCATATACCTGTAGCTCCGTAATCAATGCGAGGTATAAACACTTTTGTAATTGTATTATCTTACATACAAACTTTACATCAGAAATATGTTTATTTGTTTGCCAGAAGCTGTTGAAACGTGAAATTAAATAAAGTGTGGTAGTAGTGTTACACATATTAGAAACGCCTTTCAGGTAATCAAATATTAATAGTCTATTATTATAGGTGTTATCGATATCCACAGATTGAGTCAATATTAAAACGGGAGAAATCATACTGGTGAATAAACATCTGAATCAATTACTATACTGGGTTAATATCTTAGTTTTCTTGGCACTGAGATGGGAATTGTAACGGCTAGGCCAATATAGTCTCATTGCAAGATTAACTACAGCAAGTATATATCATGTAGTAAGTAGTTCACTAATTGTCTTGTTTTAATTCTCATTACATTCTAATTTAGATCACATATAACATTTGTTGAAGCAGATATATCGACAGTGGTCTTTGGTTTTACAATAATTCAACAACAGAAAGCCATTTAGTCGTATTATTTTCATCGCGTCGACTTAACGAGTGATATAAATGAAATAGTATGTAATAATTGAACTGGAAATACAAGGGATACAATTCTATGGAATACACAGTATGTGTTCATTAATGAACGAGGTTTGTGTCTCTTGTGATTTATTAGTTTTTACACTAGTATAAAAACTATGGTTTTCATAAAGATTATTATTTTTTTTTCTTCCTCGCGTTTTCGGAAAAGAATAATAATAATAACATTGTCATTTATAAAGCGCGTTATATTCACTGATTATTTACAGATCATGGTTTTGAAACAAGAATGTTTTGAGTTGAGATTTAAAATGGCACACAGACGGTAATTGTTTCATTGACTGTGGTAGTCTATTCCATAGAAAAGGACCCGCATAAGAAAAGGCACGTTTTCCAAGTCGTAAATTAATAGCTGGAAATTTTAGAAGATGTTTTTTTTTTCTTCTGGGAACGGAGATTTCTGTTGGTAGTATAGGGTTTACAAGACTTTTTATATAAAATGGAGCTTGGCCGTTTAACGTTTTGAAGATGAAGAGGAGTAACTTGAACGAAATTATTTGCGGATTTGGGAGCCAATGTAAAGGTTGCAATACTGGGGAGATGTGTTGATGTTTTCTAGTTTTAGTGAGGAGTCGAGCTGCTGAATTATGAACATGTTGTAGTTTGTTAATCTGATAGTCTGGTAAGCCGTATAGTAAACCATTGTGGCAATCTAGTTTATTTGAGATGAATTCGTGAATGAGTTTTTCTTTATTTTCATAACTGAGATAGCGTTGGATCTTTCCAATTCGATGTATATGATAGAAGGCAGTGGAGCAAATACTTTGTATGTGATCTCTAGACATATTCTGGGGGGTTGGGTGGCCGAATAGTCTACAGAAATAAACACTGTACTATCTGAGAAAGGTGTTTAGTTCAAAAGCTTAATAAATATCTAAGACGTCATATCAGGAAGTGACGTCATAGCTAAAATAAGACCAATATTAGACATCAAAGGAAACTTTTTTTTATTTATGAATTTATTTCAATGTGGTTTTCACCAACTGGTATGTGTTCGTAATTTTAGGATTTAAATTGGAAACTGAGATTTCTGTGTGTAACTTTTTTATTTTGAACTTTTCGAGCTGAAACTTTCATAATCCGTTACAAATGGGGGATTAAGCCAAAAATGTCAACAAAATTTTCCGAGCACAAATGTTCAACTTCTTTAATTTTGCCTTATTTAAAAATATTTGTAAATAGGAGGCAAGTTCAAATTCACCGGAAGTGCCACCATTTTGAAAACCTAGGTTAATCTTTAAAATATATCTCGTCTTAGAATTCTTATCCGATTTTCAATATCTTTATATAGTTTTAGAAACCATTCACAATTTGCTATCGATCGGCTGAATTAAATTTTGATATTTAACCTAAAGTGACTTCATAAAATTTTTTTTTTTTAAAATTTGGTGCTTATTCTGAAAGTTTCATCAAAATCAGTTGGTAAACAAAAGTTTCTGTGCAGCTCCTCTTAAAAATTTTTTAAATGGGATGTTTTACCCGGTTGAAATGTTTACCGTTATAACTTAGTTAATAATTCTATTTTCTTTAAGATTCTTGACAAAATCAGTAATATCTGATGTGAAGTTATGCCTGGTCGAGGCGTTTATCGTTATTACTTATCCAGTCTTTTAAAGTGACGTCATAATTTGTTTTTTTTAAAAAAGTGCAAAACTTTGAAATCGGGTCGAAGGTTGATCGAAACCGATAAAGTGGGTCATTTGGTGCTTATTTTGAAAGTTTTATCAAAATCGATTTTAACCTAAGGTTCTGTGCAATTTTTAAAATGTTAAAAGGGAAAAGTTTACCCGGTTTAAATGATTACCATTACAACTAAGTTAATAATTCTTTTTTATGATTTTTGACAAAATCAGTGGTTCCACTGTCGATGCATTACACTAAACTTAGTAAAGCCCTTGTCACACATTCGCAGTATTTGACCACGGTGAGCAAACCTGGGTCAAACGTGGATATCGGTGGTCAGGTCGTGGTGAAACCTGGGTGAACGTGTTGAAACCTGCGTGAACGTGTTGAAACCTGGGTGAACGTAGGTCGCTTCGGTCGTTTTAAAACGGTTTGAAGACAAGAGAAAACCTGGGTAATTTATGGCCAATAATACCGGGAAGGTGTGATATAGACATAAACATACTGAGGCATCCGCTTAATTTCTTAAAACAAAAATTTAAATTGTATGGGGCTAGACACATAATTTGTTAAAACACATCATTTTTATGCCTGAACACAAACCATTAAGAGCGACATTCGCTAGAACGTTCGAGTACATCTTTAAAGTCAAAAATACGCACTATGGTAGTGTAATGATTATTGTCATTACGGTCGAGGATACAGAACATAACCTTTACGGAGAGAATGGGCTGTTTGTACGATAAGGACAGCAAATATTATTACATGTATTTGTCTAAGACACATAAAATTGTCGGCGTGAATTAATTTTGATTGTTTAGGGTATATTGAGAACATTATTGGCAAAACAGCTGTGCTAACTTTGATTTTAAATTAAACTGATGAAAATTGACAACCTCAGACAGACTATTTGGATTTTCTTTTAGGGAAGAAAAATAATGGACAAAACAGTCTTTAATGGTAAACGTTCAATTAGGTTTAAACAGCCCGTATCATGTTCATGCATGCAATAAGATGGTTAGAAATCGAAAATGGTTAGAAATCGAAAATGGTCCTGAAATCAATAGGCTAGTTACCAGTTTATTTGTAGATAATGTGATATAGTGTAAAATGTCTCTCGTAACATAGGCAAACACTTAATATCTATTGAACTATTTAAATTTTATCTTGAACGATGTATACTCAGTTTACGTAAATTATTTGCTAAGCACTCGGTGTGTAATCGTTATTTCGATTAATTATTTAGAATACTATTCATTAACTACTATTTTATCGAGACTAGTTAAGCACTGTCCCTTGTGGGCTTTTTTATTTCATTACATCAATCTATATATTTTATGTCATTGAATTTTAACTCTGTATTGTCTGACCAGGCAACAGGTACTTTTTTGTCTCATTGGGCTTCATTTGTCATAATTAATACTTAAAGAGCCATTATAGCTTTCACCAAGAAAAAAAAATAACTCATTTTACTAGGCACAATATTAGCGACGTACTCAAGCGTAATAAAATTTTGATATGGTTAATCAATTTTTATAAAAGTAATGAATTATTTGGTTCCATTACTCAATTTTGATCATATTACTCAATTTTGATCATATTACTCAATTTTGATCAGGGTACTCAATTTTGATCAAAGTACACAATTTTGATCAAAGTACACAATTTTGATTACAGTGCTCAATTTTGATCAAAGTAGTCAATTTTAATAAATTCATTTTGTCTTTAAAATCATTCGATATTTAAATCATAAACTTTAATAAAAATCATATTTACAGATAAGAATAGTATATTTACAGATACAAATATATTTACAGATAAAAATAAATAAAGTGACCATGTTGTTCGGGTTAAACTAGATGACCTGAATAATTTAGTAGACTTTTGATAACATATTAATAATTGTCTAAATTCGATACTATGACCTTAAATAATAACTGGCATTGGAAGTTTTGTTTTCAGGTATAATTGTTGGTAAAATAATAATGTTCGATTTGAAGTTATTGGACTTTCCATTTACATCCATGTTAGAATGTATGCAAAATTTGTGACAAATCTGCCAAGTTATCCCTAAGATAAGGTCAGTTATTGAATTTTCGGTAAGATTATTAATTTGAAAATGGTATTCTTCAAAATAACTTTCATTAATTTTCATGGTGATAGTGATGTCTTCCCTTTAAACTCTATATTTGACATCTGATCTGTTCTGGTCTGGCTTATTATCCGGCGCAAGAAATCCTGATTAATAAATCTAAAGAATGCTTGTTATGTAGATTAAATCTCGTTGTTTCTATTGATTCTCTAGTTTTAACTTGTAAAGTGTCTGGCTCCGTTGTACCGTAATAACATAAATAAATAAATTCGTTTTTAATTTAATCTGCTACCTAAGATTTCTTCCTTGTCCAATGACACTGAAATTGTAGCTCTATAATTACACGTAAACAGATTAGAATACATTGCGCAAAACATCTTGATTGACACATGTATTTTCTGATATACATATAAATACCAAGCAGATTATGAAAGTCGGTACAGGGGGCATCCACTCAGAGATTGAAATTAAATAAACAATTTTGGAATCTAATATTACCGTATACTAAACTAACGCTGCCTGTCTACAATTAGCTCCGCTTGAGAACGGACACTAAGCTGGATGACCGACATTTTAAGTACTATCTTGAATGACACATTTATTTTCAGGTAAACATATTACCAAGCAATTTTTGAAAGTCGGTACTTGGGGCGTCCAATCAGAGATTAAAATTAAATAAACAATTTTGGAATCTAATATTACCGTATACTAAACTAACGCTGTCTGTCTACAATTAGTTCCGCTTGAGAACGGACACTAAGCTGGATGACTGACATTTTAAGTACCAAATCGACGATTTTAGTATACTTCGAAAATTTTGAGAAGTATTTATTTCACTTATTAAACATACATTATGCAAAAGCTAAATCTACCTATTTCAGGTCTTTCTTTAGGCCTGAAATGTTACCTAAATTGTTAATTAGACATTACTTAACTTACCCAGACCATAATCAACTCTTGCTAGCCTACGATATTTACTGGATTGGAATCCGATCAGCGGCTCAACGCTCATTGACGATTAAATCCAAAAATGGATAATGGAGACCATGTTCTTATCGTACCGACTTTAGTAATGATGATCGAAACTAAGCCTAAAATTCAATCGCTAAATTCTCGGTTTAGAGTGGATCAATTTCACTGAAATTTTCAGCAAATTCCCTTTAAATTGTCTAGTTTTAACTATAATAATGAGATCTGTCAACTCTTTATCTAATCTCCCATAATGTATCTTTAAAAAAATAATTGAAAAGGTTTATTTAGTCATTTTGTGTATGACAGATATGAAATGGAGTAGAGCCGCATTACAGAATAGGATACTAATTTTTGGAAATGGCGGCCATTCAGGGCAGAGATCTATTCTCGAACTAGGTAGTTCTCTGTGTACAGAATGATATTATCACTGTATATGTATATTCATGTGTTTTTACGTATTTAAAATGTCCTCCTTTCTCACATTTATGAGTACTAGGCCCTATACTTGAAATCTTGGGGCATCCAAACAAGGAGTTGGCACCGGGCATGACCACACCACTGCAAAACATTGTCTGTTTTGAGATTCAAGTATTTATTCTATTGAAAATTATGATGTATATAAGGATGACTATGGCTGGTTTAACGGCATGGTGATTTGTCATGTATGATTGAACTGACAATGAACCATTATATCGACAATGTAATGTAATTAGATTCGGAAATCCGCGTATTAAGATATTCCATATTTCAATTTCCGTGTACGTTACATTCGTGTAAAAATATTTTCACTTACCGCCTTACTACGGTAATTGAAATCTAATTTCAAATTTTTATTTTTTTCAGATCACGGTCACCGTATTCCTTAAAATAGAAAACATAATGTTCCAAAATAGACAACCAACCAGGTGAATATGTTGTGTGATTCTGCATTAGCTAATGGCTCGGCCATTATAGACCCGGGCTTATTTCAGGACAAGAAATAATGGTGTTCGGTTATGTCGGTGTCAACAAATAAATAGAGAAAATCAATCCGTCAATATAGTACATTCTTTTTAATCTAACAGACATCATTATTATGTTTGCCAAGTATATAACCATGATTTAGGTGTACATTCACGAGGTAAATTATTTCAGCAAAAGCACGAGTTCGTGAAATACCACACGTTCCGTTTTTGTATCTTATATCTAAATGTAGAGTTTTAATGTGTTGGTAATTTTGTGGATATTTATATTTCTTAATACAAAAAATGATTGTGCGGTGAGAGAAGTGCTGGAGATTATTTTCGGTTAATGTTGGTAACTGACGATGACCAATACAAGGATTCGTAAAGTATTTAATAAAACGGAGATATTTGTGGACACTGGTAGATTATTTGTTTGACTACCACCCAGCTGTGATTTTCTGTGGAATATAATTTTACACTTACGATCGGAAATGTCAGCGCACTTCCATAAGATGCATTTCTTGGGGCTTGTGTCTTTTTCAATATACGTCATCGTCATGTCTATTATCTTCCCAGTATGTTCGCACGAAAGTGGCCGAATGAATTTCGTAAACAAAACAACGTTATTTGATAGAGAATACAGCACGAAACACCCCCGTATTCTAGAACTTATCGCTACCATCAGTGATATTATGTCCTGGATGAGGTTGGTGGTCATTTATGACAGTCACGGCTTAAATTTACTTTGGGATTTTTACGACTCTGTGGAAACACAATACACACCAGCGGCGTTTTTTGATGTTCACGACTGGAAAGGACAAGAGACATCTCTGTTATTAATGATACACAAACAATATTTCCCAAATATTTCAATCATTCTGTTTGGGGGCCATGATGTTCTCAACCTCTTGGCAATCGCAAATACTCTAGATGCTCGTTCTAATCGATCTACAGACTTCAGTCATAAGTCGTTTTGGATATTTGTTCCTGGTGATGATAATACATGTGTATTTTCGGTTCTTAATACTGACCAAATTGTTCTGGAAAATATTGTAATTATTTCGTGCTTCGAGTCTTCTGTGGGTGTATTCACGTTCACTTTATCTAACAGACGGTTTGCTCTTGTACGAACCTACACAAAATCATCCCTCTTCCCAAATACATTGTATGGCTTCAATGGTAGACATTTTATCATAACTTCTCATGTCGCGCCGCAGTTTTTTATTAAGCATAATGATAGTGGAAACATTACATACTCAGGTTACGCAAAGACCTTTTGTGATGCTATGTCCAGGTTTTTAAACTTTACGTATAGGTTTGTGGAACCAGAAGATAACCAATGGGGCAACCTCGTCAATGGTTCGTGGGACGGATTGGTAGCCCAAATGATAAGACGCGAAGTTGACATGGCAGTAGCAGAGCTTACGTTGACTCCAGATAGGGAAGGGGTGGTTGATTTTATTTTGCCGCCTTTTTTTACCCAGGGACTTGGCATGGTGTTCCGAAAGGAAGATGATTCGACCAAAGGATGGTTAAATATCATGCAGCCATTTCAGCTACAAGTTTATTATGTTTTATTCTCCGCCGCTGTTGGAATTTGTATCGTTTTTTATATTTTGGAAAAGGTTAACCCGGTAAATAAAGACAACACACATCATAAAACTTCGCCAGCAACGGAATTTGTGGGTGTATCCAACCTGTTTTTATCAGTAGCTGGATGTCTGTTCTTAGGAGGTGATGGTATTCGTCCACGAACCTGGACCGGTAGGGTTCTGACGTTTTCCTTATGGTTGTTTTGTGTGGTGATAGCAGCGACTTATTCTGGTAACCTAACGGCTTCCCTTTCTGTTAGGCGGGAGAAGAAACCGTTTAACAGTCTCGAAGAGATGGTAGAACTTGAGGGATGGAAATGGGGTGTCCATCCGTCCACCCTGACGGCTGCGTTATTGAGAGAAGCCAAACGGGCTGACATGCGGAAAGCTTGGAATAAAATACTCGAATTCAATAAGTCCGACCCCGGTGTGCTTTCAACAAGTGCTACAGAGCACATTGACCGAGTTACAAAAGGGAAATATGCTTATATTTCGCTAGACCCTCTTCTGTTTAAGCTCTCGCGGAATGACTGTACATTTGACACAATTACAAATGTACTGGCAACACAACATGTTGCCCTCGCTCTTCCTACAGATTCTCCTTTGACGCCCGAAATTCAGCGTTTTATGTTTCATTTATTTGATGGAGGTGTTCTAAAAAGATGGGAGCAGGCTCGATATAAGGACCAACGCCCTAAAGAATGTCTTCATTCAGATAGTACGGAGCTGAAGGCCATGTATTTAGACGATATTAAAGGGGCATTTGCGGCTTTAGGATTTGGTGTAGTATTTGCTTTGTCTGTCCTCATTTGTGAAAATACACTCCGGCTCTTTTCCAAACTTAAAGGGGCATAACAATAGATATTAATTTCTGTGTCTGTTTCACTCAGGTTATTCGAAATCCTTTAAGAACCACTTCCGAAAACCAACGTTTCATTGAATATTTTGACAAAATTCGTTAATGTGGCTAGCTTCCCTTCAAGTTGAAATTCATGTACTGTGCAAACCAAAATCCTTTAAGAACCACTTCCGAAAACCAACGTTTCATTGAGTATTTTGACAAAATTCGTTAATGTGGCTAGCTTCCCTTCAAGTTGAAGTTCATGTACTGTGCAAACCAAAAAAGGAATTTACATGATTAGTTACTTGCTTGCTATTGTTTTAAACTCTATTATCATAAATTAATTGACTGTAGATGATGTCAGCTGAATAAAAATTTATTGGTTTAGTTATGTAAACTGTTTGTTAAACATTGCGTTTATCTCATTTTTAAAAAATAAAAATACATAAATGTCAAAATTCATATTATTTTGTTCTTCTTTTGCAATCTATGCACATCAAATAAAGGTGATACACATGTCCATACTCAAATTATATAAAGGAGCTACCTAAGATATATTTGAGTATATAAAGCTGTATAATTGTATGTGAAAAACACGCCGAAACGCTTAAACTACCTCAACCCCTGCATTACTAATCCAACCTCGTGGGTTTTCTCCGGGTCCTCCGGTTTCCTCCCACTGCTAAAGACCCCTACGCGCAAGCGAATTATTGAAATAAAATTAAACCATATGTTAGTCCCGAAATGACCTAGTTTGTGTCGAGTGGACGTTAAACTCCATTTCTCTCTCTCTCTCTCTATTCTGGAACGTCCTATCGAGTATCCTACTGGGGTACGGATGTCGCTTTATCGAGACACTTACAAGGCAAAATAAAAATAACACTGGTGTTTACTATTATCTGGTTAAAAATAGGGTCATTCAATCGGAAATTTAACATGAAATACTGGGATCGGCGATTTTTGCCGCAAGATTCAAAATCTGCAACGGTCCAAAATCATTTTATGCGGATATTGCATCGTTTTTAAAGGAGCTAAACCTCTAACTCAATATTATCCATAATATTCAAAATTTAGACTACGAATTACTAATATGTAATATTTACGACATTACGAGCATTTTAATATCAGTGCACGACATCGTGTACTCTATGGAGTTTAGTGCCAATAGTAATTTAACAAAAAATAAACAATGCGGAAATAATTTTAAAAATGATTGACTCACAAACAGTAAAACAATAATTAAAAAACCTGTGGAATGGAACAAGCAAGCGCAACAGCTTGGACTGGTCCCGTATTTCACCGAACAAAACTGATTAGAAATTACAATAATCTTTTTTAAAAATGACTGTAAATCACTTTATATACATGTCCTTTCATATTACATTAACATGTACTTTTAGACCCATTTTGGTCTATTTAAAGGTTCCAACGAATAGAGTTATACGCCCTTTAAGCAATGAGACTGATCGTGTCCGAATGACTCAACGTTTTTAAGATGAAAATAGTGAATTTTACTATAAATGACATTTTTTTTAAATTTTGGTGTTTCATTTATTTAAATAATTAAATCCATGCACGTTCAACATACATAATTATGGCAGTGTTCCTTCAAAGAGAAAACAAAATAAATGATTACACAAAATATTGTAATGACCGATATATTGATTGAAATACGAGTAACCTACTCATAAATTAATATAGCACAGATTTCAGCGTTGCTTGTTAATTATGTACAGCTGTGGGACATGAAACGGTCGATTTGATAAGATCTCGTTATTAACCCAGACGAAATAAGAGATATGGGATGTTATTGAGGGTGACAATTTCATACCCTGTTTGTATTTGCGTCTCGAAATTGACCTATAAACAAACTTTGTGTCTGAATGCTTCCAGGCTTAAGGTCTATGACGGGGATATTCCCAGGGGTGTTCTTACTTTCCCAGCAGCTATTGTTTTCCAGGTAAAATCATTGGACCAGTACTAATTAGGGTAACAATGGTGTTAAAACTATAGTCTTTTTCATATCAATATTAACCACTTTACATAAAAGTTATTTCATTAACAAATTTAGCATGTACATATATATTTTTCATATCAATATTAACTACTTTACATACAAGTTATTTTATTAACAAATTTAGTATTGTGCATGTATATTTAAAATCCGACTAAATGTGATATCGAATTTCCGTATTCATATAAAGTCGTCAAACCAGTTAATAATCTTTGTTTTTCATCATGTATTCTTCTGTTTAATTCTATGTATTTTCTTTTCTCTGGACGTGAAACGCCTCCATTTCCATATTGTAAAATTTGTATCTCTGTGTAACCCTGTTCTGACTTTAGTAGTTCTATGAATCTAAAAATATTCGGATGGTTTGACGATACTTTGAATGCCAACCTTCAACATTGTTGGTTGTTCTTGCACCTTCAGTATAGAAATGGTTCCATAAACTTATATCTACACCTTCGACCCACTGTTCTGTAATAGAGTCTGCAAATTCGCGAACCACAGGAATATCCATACCCGCGTCTTCTAAGGAGTAAAACCAAAAGTCTTCAATATCACCAGGTTTTATAAGGGCTAACGCGGCCGCTCGTTTCACAAAACTAGTCACAGAATTGTTCTCACCAAACAGTTTCTGCAAACCATGTTTCTGGGGATTTCTCCAGATAGACTGTCGGAAATGGAACATACAACCTTTAAGGGTGCAGTTAAATTCTAGACGAACTGCATTCTGTGCTGCTACTTCGAAGTCTGTGAAGATGGTAGTTGGTTGTAGGTTTAAATTTAATGAACTGGATTTCTCTTTCAGTATCTGGAAAAATTTTTGGTATGTTGACTTTTTTTTATCTGGCATAAGGGCGTAACATGTTGGTACCAATAAAAGTATGAATAGTGTATAGTTGGTAATAAAGGCTTGGACAAATAGCGAAGGTTCCGTCGCAGAATAGGATATCGACTGCTGCTAGTTGGTAGAGATTTTCTTGGGTGCATAATACTAACATCTTATTCTGGTATTCTGCATGAAGTAAGAAGTTTTCACCATTTTTTGTTTCTTTATAACATTAAAGCAGTTCTACATCACATCGGTTCTTTGGTATAGTTGGTAAATTTTGGGATCTGGCTCGATATAACATGGAATGTGCACTGTAAAAAGTTGGTACAAACTTTACACAGTCATCTGCTTCTGAAACCCGTAAATCTGAAAAAATATCAAAAATATAAAACTATTATAGTATATATATCTTTATATTAATTTGGTTGGATCAGCTTGATAATTATGGATGTTTCTGTATAGGTAGTAACCAGGTCATTCCTGGTATTGCAAGTAGCAGGGCATTCACGAACAGTACACCTCCAGTGAATGGTGGCTCCTCTTCTTGTCTTAACACTAAACTTATAATTATCATAAACTAGGCTTCGAGTACCTCTCGAGTTTGGAATGAATCTAACGTTTACCTATGCATTAGCCATTTTGGAATGACATACAATTTGAACTTTCAACTTTTTAATAAACTTTTATCATAAACAGTGTTCATCGTAATTAAGTATAAAATTAAACTGACATATGAACGAAAAATCAGACAGTGATTTATAGTTCACACATGTCATAGGTTAAATTGAACTGTTCATGCGATAATTAAAACAGAGTATAACTTACTAATCTATAACTAATCCCCAATTCGCTTAATTAGTAGGGTTAATTTGCTGGGAAAGTGAGAACAAACCTATTCCCATCCATTGTATCTGCTAAAAACAAAACGCAATGTGAACCAAATGTGATAGGAGCACAACGATGGCTTCGACAGCCAACCAATTAAGCATCTCTATAAGCAAAGGCTTTCGGACCAGTCTTCGTCGGGGATCTCTATATTTTCATGAGGTTTAGATTGGTAGGATGATCTGAAGTCGACTAATTACAATTTGCGTATTACTAAACAAGCCGAATAGAGAAATGATAGTGGACCCAATAGTTAGAAAACGGAACGATTACAACCAACAGTTACTTAAACCGGGTTTGTTGTTTCCAGTTAAATATTGTTTCCAGTTAAATATCTGACAACCCTCTAACAACCGATTGGTACATTTGATCAAGATTTGCCACAACCAGACGTTTCTTTCATAATATAAAATTGCAACATAAGTAATATTTGATTTTCTATAGAAAGAGTAATATCCTATTCTCCGCCCAATGTCATTTTTTTCCCTTTGGTAAATTACTTCTCTTGAAAACCCGATGTTCCAAGGCGTAACCTCAAATGTTAAAATTAAGATGAGAAATTTATATCGCGCTCGGTATTAAAGATGCATTATGTAAGAGCTAAGTCTACCTATTGGAGGTCTTTATTTCGGCTTCAAATTAATGTGATATAAACATTTATTTAGACAATTATTTACCCGGCAGGCCGAGATTTAAATAGATTTGAACACCCGCGAGCTTTAATGATAAAATAGACAATCGAGGCTTAGTCTCGGTTGTCAAAGACCGTTGCTACATTGAAGATACATTATGGGAGATAAGATAAAGAGATGGCAGTTCTCGCTATAATAGTTAAAAACTTGATAGTGTAAAGGTAATTTGCTGGAAATTTCAGTCAAATTGATCCACTATGAGCCGAGAAAGAAGCGGGTGAAATTTTTGCATAGTCTCGGTCATCATTACTAAAATCATTAATATAAACAGCATAGTCTCGATTATCCACTTTTTCTGATTTAATTATCAATAGCCGTTAGCGGCATATAGGAATCTAATCCAGCCAACATCGAAGGCTAGCTTTGACATCGAGAGTTAATTATGGTCTGGATAAGTTAATTAATGTCTAATTGATAATTTAGATAACATTTCCAGCCTAAAGAAAGACTTGTAATAAGCAGATTTTGCTCTTGCATAATGCATGTTTAATAAATGCTCTACGCTAAATTTACAAACAGTCATAACTTCGCTCAGAATAAAGTAATTTGAATGAAATTTTCCATATTATTCATTTTTAGTATCTATTTTCGAACTATTATAGTAACAACGATCGGATCTTTATTTAAATCTTACATAATGCATCTTTAAAAGGAGCGAGAAAATAATAATTGGATATGGGTGATTTCTTACTTATCAATGCCCAAACTATTGCTCAATTTTTCTTAGATTCTTAAAATATATCGTTTCATGAAAAACACTATCCGTGTTGGTATAACAGTGGGCGGAATGTATACCATTGTCATGTGGAGATTGTTCCCGACATTAATGTCAGTGTGGAAATAAAAAGACTTGAATATAACGCTAGTAGGCATTCGTGCATGTTTCTTTCATCAATACGGGCTAATATTGATTATTGGGTATACAAGGTTTACAACGTGTTTCGTTACCTGGATAACCTTGTACTTTTAAAATTATTTACAAGAAGAATGAAAAAGGGATAAAATTATTATTTAAAACCGGTTAAACTGACTCGTAAATTGCCATTAAATTTCCTTTAATAGCAAACGCTTACAAAATATCAACATTTTTTTTTTTTATAAATAACACTCAAAATATCTAATTTAGTATTTTTTAAAAACCTAATACTGTCACCCACACACGAATGTCCAAATACGTTTGCTCTATAAAAAAATGCAAATCGTCACAGAATTTTAAAAAGAAAACAGTAATGGTGGCGTTACTGCAAGTAACATACTATAGAATGTGGACCAGGTATTTAATATTCGAAATAAAATGGAATTTAACGTCCTACTGCAATGCACGGGTTTTCGTCCCAACGGAACTACTACACTGTCCCTCGTCAAGCCCTCGATCCAACACCACTGACAAGGGAGAACCAGGGCGGAAAAATCCGATGAATTTTATTTCATATTCGGTCATGCTCAAAAGATTAATTTGTTATCTAATACCGAAATTCTCACTATATAAACAAACCATCGACACTTTAGGTTCGATTCGAATAGTCGTTTCTCTTGTGTAATGCAAGAACTCTAAAATATGTGTACATGTATTCCATTTTGACCGGGCACTATAGATTAAAAACACATAACACAAGATTCGATAATGCTCAAAATAAATGTTTAATGGCCCAATACCACTCTTGTTGTAACTGAATAATATGTCCCAATCTTTATTCTGGTCAACAAATTGTACTATTTTACAATATTCCAATTAATTGGTGATACAAATTTCATCTTAACACACCTAATTTAAAAAATTGGAAAAATTCAACTAAATGATTTGAAAAGCCTAACGTAAACCTCTTCAAATGTGACTTGAATTTAAAAATATTTTCGAACCCTCTGGACAAGTAAAATAGGATGTAATGGATAATTTACACAACAGGTAGGACACTTAAACATCTAGTACTTAGAATAAGGCTATTTTTTATTTTCTGGAGCTGTCAAGCCAGCAAGAGTGTTATTGTCCCTTTAAAATGAAAGTTTATAATAACTGTGTTGTCTTCAAACGACAGAACTCGAGTTAATTAATTTCGTGGGGATTTTGTCCAACCCTGGAGGGTTTTTTTTTTCGTTGAGTTTGTGAGGTAAAGTTAAGCGATTGGCGTAAATTCGAATATGTTCCATTTCTGAACATAACATGTAGCAGCGATCATTCCTTTTACAGACATTGAAGGTTCCATAGCGCGTGTTTTTCGCCACCGAATGCTGGACTTGTAATAATAACTTCGATTCTGGTGGTGGAAGGGGATAACAAGTGGTATAACGCGTGCGCTTTAGATCACAAGGTCTGTAAATGAGTGAAATAACATCGTTTCGACCCTATGCTTGTGGTGTGTGTGTGTGTGGGGGGGGGGGCGAATGGTTAGTGCATGTGCGTTGTATCATAAGGCCTGTCATTGAGTCAACTGGCGTAGTTTCGGTTCCCCGGTTGTACGTGACAAGGAGTAGGGTCCAACCTCGTGGAGTTTCTCCGGGTTCTCCAGTTTCCTCCCACTGCTAAAGACCCCTAAGTGCAAGTGAATTATTAAAATAAAATTGAACCATATGTTAGTCCCGAAATGACCTAATTTGTGACGAGTGGGCGTTAAACCCTATTTCTCTCTCCCTCTCTTTGTGCACAACAAACAGTAGAGGTTTCTCCGAGTCCTCCAATATGTTCCCACTTACTGGATTGTACCATGATATATATTTGTCCCGAAATTTCGTAATTTGTGTAGAATGGACGCTCACCTCTCTATTATAATAAAATGGTTAGTATATAGTATATTTATTATCGATAAAATACATCAATATCAGCTTTGTATGCATAATATATATTTTTTTCTTAAGTAGCTCTAAGTATATGTCGTGTCTATTTATTTACGACCTCTCGTGTGATCGAAGTTCAAGTATTATGCAAACACTGTATTGTTTTTCTTGACTTGGTCGTTATACTGTGTCAGAAAGATGGCATGTGTGATAGATGTGAAGTGGGGCTTAATAGATCGTGGGAACAAATACGTTATAATTGTTATATTTACGTCTGTTTATCATTATTTTTTGATTCATGGACCATCAAAGGAGGTATCTTTGTTCTTGATATCAGGATCGAAGCCATGGCAAATAATTATTGGTCATTCAATGTCTCCTGTTTGAAGAAATCATACTATGAATATTTACGGAACATACTCAACCAATATTCATTAACTTGCTTTTTTTTCTGTACCTTAACAAACTGGTCCCCATTGAATCTTAACTTAATAATGATCATTCCAATATGAAGCTCTGAAGCTAGCAATCACAAAAGAGTGGAAATTAAGCCTCATATCCAAATGCTATTTTCCTCTACCCCCACCAATCCTAATTTAAGCCACTAGAATTACTCTTCAGTAAACAAAAGGGTTGCAAACATATACATATACTCTATTAATAGAAAATGATAGTAGAGAAATGGGCGAAATGAAATATGGTGGGAAACAATTGTGTGCAAAGCTATCTATATGGAGTAAATACTATATACTATGTTTGAAAGTTGTATATTGGATACAAAGCTCCAAGAATTCTAATTTATGTTCTTTCATAGAATTATTCTCACAAAAAAATTGTATAAAATAAAAAGAGTAGGTGATAACTATATACTGCTCCTTTTGTATAACGGAAATTGAAAGAGTAGAACACCTTTACTATCATTAAGAAATTGTGGAATGATGTTTTCAAGTATTTGACTATTATTGAATATAAAGACACCAACTTAACAATGGAAGAGATAATGATCGGTAAAGTTGGGGCTCCGTCCATTATCTGTTGTAAATACTACACATATATTTAGATGTACTTTATCAAAGAGTAGTCCAATAGCCTACAGGGTTTGCTTTGGCATTATTGCCTTCCAATACCAGGTGGAAAACATATCTCTATATGAAATGATAAATTTGACATATTCTTACAGAAATGGAACATGTATAATATCAATAAGAATAATTATACGTTACACTCTTAATCGAATATACAGGTCACAATTCTATGGAATACAATTACTGCTTTTTAATCGAATGTATTATAAGAATATTGATACTAATTACACCCCTTCTGATGGACCCATGTCTATTTATATGTATTATGGCTGTGCAATATTATACTATAACACGTACGTTCTTATATATGCTTGTAAATAATTGAAGATGAAAAGTGAAAAAATTAAACAATCCCCCCCCCCCCCCCAACCCCCCCCCCCCAACAAAACAATGATAATGCGGAGGAATGTGAAGTAGATTAGCCTACACTAGGCCTATAATAACCCCAAACCTATTCATAACTAGTATGAGCGTCTAAGGAACAGGAACCGTGAATATGTACTGTTATCGAATTGTGACAGTTACATTGGAAAAGATCCCATTACATTGACATTAGACCGACTTTTTCGCCGGCGAAAACGCGTACCTGCAAAACGGGCTTATAAAGGCATTTTTTTGCCGGTCGTACTTGGACTATAAGTCTCCGCTGAATTTTTAATCTACCTGATATTCTGTTATAAAAGTTGGGTTAAAATCATATACCACAGTCTGCTCACGCTTTTAGAAATGTAAGAAGTTTCTATTGTATGCAGTTCAAGGTGAAGAAAGGCAGGAGGGTGGGGGGGGGGGGCAACAGATGCAAGAGTAGACTACTAGCTGCATAAACATACACATGGATTGACTGTCCATTATTTATTTTTTGATAATAATAATAAAAAAAAACGAGTAATACAATTAATCTATTATATTAACAAATGAATTATTGAATCGTCTTAAATAGCTATTGTTAGACATGTAAATTCTGGGCCCTGTTTCTCGAAATCTTAACTAAAGATAAAATCCAAATTTTAATAGATACTTCAATTTTGATTGGCTTAGCACTAAAATCAATCTAATATTATCCAATCAAATTACTAAAATTTGGATTTTATCTTAGTTAAAATTTCGTGAAACAGGTCCCTGGCCCCTTATTCACAAAAACTTAAACTAAGATTATACAATCGAAATTTTAAGACATACTGCAATTCGATTGGCTGACCAGTAAAATCAATTTGCACATATCCAATGAAGTTGCAGTATTTCTTAAAATTTTGGTTGTAACTTAGTTTGATTTTTCGTGAATAAGGGCCCGGATCTACAAGTTCTACTTTCAACCTAATACAAATATTTTATAACTTCGTTTCGGTTTCTTCCTCTCACTAATTCCGAATTTTAAATCAACCGATACCAATATCAACTTCCGGATCAAAGATTAATCTAACTCTAGTAAGTTCCGTTTTAATAAGATTAATTATTCTTTTCCAATTGACATTAGTTGCTTTAATTTAGTTTCACTTACGGTTAAAAATGTACATATAACTTATCTTTTACTGGACATGTTTGCTTCCAAGTTTAAATTTTCGTTTCGTATGATATTATTTTAAATCAGTGTTTTGTAAACAACTTTTCCCGCTCAAGCTTATTTTTTTGTGAACCATCTGCTTATTTCTCTGTAGTAGTACTGTAGCATACCGATAGCCCTATTTAATTACCTGTTTGCGTCTCATTTGCTTGCAAGGTATGAATCAAATATTGTTTACAAATCTGTTATTAATTTGTAAGTTGTTTCTCTGACAGCAACACACACACACACACACCATTGCTATAGTAGTCTTCCCAGACCCAGTCCCAGTCACTAATACAGTAATAGTGAGCCAGGTTGAATCTGCATATAATTTAGGCTACCTGCTATCGCTTGTTTTTTTTGTTTTTTTCAACAATTCGTAATGTTAGGAAATCAAACCTACGCTGATTCACTCAAATATGTGTTTTTTTCAGTCTAGTCGATTTGATTTGCATTAATATTCCCAAAAGAATGATACATCCACTTGTTTCCAATATTTCCATTATGATTATAATGATGTCCTTCGAGCTTTTAACGGAGACCATTAACTAAATGCCATGATGATCAGTACATTATATGAACAGTATTTTTCAGCCTAATCTTATTTCTATTTGTTATGATTTTATGATCACTTTCACTTTGTTCCTTTTCTGTCTTAAAAGAGATAAGAGAGAGAGAGAGAAATGGGGTTTAACGTCCACTCGACACAAACTAGGTCATTTTGGGACTAACATCTTAAAAGATAAATTGAACTAGGCAATAACACTAATGGTACTGGTACACATGCAAAGTTATCAGAGCATTGGCCAAGAAAGTTTATCAGGATTTTCCGATGTGGTTTCCCCTTGTCAGTGGTGAAAGACCTGACAAGGACAGCTGTCCAGTCATTCATATGGGAGGAAAAAGCAAGGTCCCGTGTATACATTGGCATGCACGTAAAGGATCCCTTGGCAGTTGAAATTCGATATAAGAATAGGCCATAGTGCTGCTGCCTGGGCAAAGTTTCCCTCATAGCACACTGTATGGCATATGCCTGTCTTCATTGACCCAGTATATTAGGAGCAGAACAGTAGGATGTTAAACTCCATTTCATTTCATTTCACAATTGAGAAATATATTTTCTAGTTGAATGCAGTAATATGATTGCTTAATTTCATATTTGTTGTGTTATGTAATTCAGGAAAAAATGGAATGAATATAAATTATAAAATTACACCAGTCAAGTCATATTGATGAATCTGCAAGACTGAACAGACTTTTGGTGAAAGAGGAGAAAATGGTGGTTGCATTTGAAGATAAATTAGCACCTGTGAAGAAGCGCCCAAGGCTTTCATTAAAATCCAACAGGAAGAACACACCAGCTGCTGGTTGTGTGCCAAGCACAGCAGATGAAGCTAACAAATGCCTTTATGGTGAACCTAAGCTACAATCTATAAAGTAAGCTTAAAGCAGTAATAAGTCTATGCAGTCTAGAATAATTTTGTCATCATACATATAAATTAGCTTTTGATAATACCAGTTATTGAAAATGCATATTAATTTATATATTCTAACTGCTTAAGCTTTGGTACTTTCTTTTTCTCCCATAATATTCATTTCTGATCACTCTATTATGTCATGTACTGTAAACTATGGAAACCTGTTGCATTTGGGGGGGGGGGGTCAATCTAAGCTTCTCACTTTTTTATCCCTGAATTCTTACTTTTGAAAGTACTTACCGATGACCATGCATGTAATATTGCAGGTTTTAACTCCATGCAATGGTTGGAGATGGTTTGTTTTTATAACATAAATAAAAATATTACTGCTTGAAGCAAATGAAAGTAGTGTTTAACATCTTGTCAACACTACCTACATGTAGGTCTGTTTGACGAAGTAAGCTGTTGGTGGGCAAGTATTGCCTTGTCCGGCAAGCTATGTCTTCATTCTATAAAGATTTTCTCCACCATCTATTAATAGTTAGTTACAAACAATGTGTTAAGAAAATACTGATATTTACATGTACATTAAATGTTTATTTTACTTTATAGTGAGGAAGAATGTAATGGTATTGGTGATATAGATGAAGATGTACAACAAGAAGTATCAAGAGAAAGTGAGAGTTGTATACCTGTTGAAGAATCACTAGTACCTCCAGTAGCATCGCTTGTAAATTTAGGTTAGGATCTCTACATCATAATGTTTTCTATTTGGCCTTGTGGGTTTTCTCCCCGGGTCCTCTGGTTTACTCCCGCTGCTAAAGTACCTAAATTCAAATTAGTGAAATGAAATTGAACCATATGTTAGTCCCGAAATGAGCTAATATGTGTTTGTGTCAAGTGTTGGGGGGTGGGGGGGTGGGTGTAAGCCCCATTTCTTCCCTGCCCCCCAATCGACAAAAGCAACTAAATCGAAAACTACATAGTGTTAATACTAAGTGTAGGGGGACTGCACCACACACCACAACAATACACAAGAAATTCTATGGACAAGGCACAATACACAGAAATCGCAAACAACAGATATCAGATCAAGTGAATGATCCTGGAGCTAGTCGTAAGCGTCCACTGCACTGTAGTCATACAGACTTCACTCAAATTGAAAAACAAACTAACAATAAGGGAATATTTCCCAGATGTTGTATTATACTACCGTGACCAATGATCGGCTATGTGCTACATGGAATATAAATGTAGATACTTTAAAGATGCATTAGTTAAGAGTTTGATAAAAAGTTGGCCATTCTTCCTACAATAATTCAAAAATTCATGTAGATGATAAAAAAAGAAAATATTGAAAATTTCATGCAAATTACTTCATTCTCAGCCAAGTTATCATTGTTTGTAGTTTTGACAAGGTGAGTGCACAGTGGTAACCAGGGCACTGGTATAATCCTGACTTAGCCTTGCTTTCCCATTTTTAAATTGAATTTTTCAATAGCGAACCGTTTTAATCTAATGAAAATCTTGAGTACCTGATGCCATCGAGAGTCGATTATAGTCTTGTTTTGTTAATAAATGTCTAATTAATAGTTTATATAACATTTCAGGCCTAAAGAAAGACCTGCAATAGGCAGATTTAGCTCTTGCATAATGTATGTTTAAAGTAAGTGTTGAAAAAAAACACAACCTGTGTCTATTTATTTATTTGTCTTATTTCAACATAATATGATTTTTATTTTATTTTATTTTTTTAGGTAACACATGCTTTCTGAATAGTGTATTACAAGTGTTAAGATATACACCAAGGTTTATGACATGTCTAATAGATCTGTTTAAGAATATTGTTGTAGTGGAAAAGGCTGCAAAAGAGAAACTTTTAAAAGTATGTAATGTTGAAAATATTTGCAGTATGGTACAGCTTTTAATTTGGATGTCCATTTAGACAAATTGTGGGATATATTGAATATTTTGGAGTATGATAAAGTTTGAATATATTGTATATATTGTGTCTTGTGTATGAAATGCAATGAAATGGGGTTTAACGTCCTACTCTTCTGCTCCGACTGGGCTAATGAAGACGAAAATAGGCCATACAGTGTGCTATGAAAGAAATTTTGTGGACGGCAACATGACATCCTACTTTTATATTGAAATCCAGCTGCCAAGGGATCTTTTATGTACACACAAATGTCTACACAGGATCTTGGTCTTTTGTACCATCCGTATAACTATATGTATACATTGTTCCTCGCCAGGCCCTCTGTCCTGCACCGCTGACCAGGGAGAACCATGTCGGAAAATCCTGATGAACTTTCTTGGCAAACACTCGGATTAAACAAGGGGCCTCCAGGTTAGCGCGCTAAAGTCTTTCTCACTGAGTCATTGTGGTTCCAGACTGTGCGTGTGTGTTTATATCTCCAGTTCAATTACTAAATGCCATTGAAACATCGTTTTCAATTGGGATCACAATGACACAGGGATGTAGCCACACCGGGTGCTTGCGCTCGGCACTATTTTTTGCCACCCAGCACAAAGAAAAAATCGTAGAAAGACGCCCAGTCATGTTTAAACCCCTTCGTCCTTCTCTGTACACAAGCTCAGCGCTCGAAATATACCACGGCAAACAGCAAAGCCATGGTAAAAGCCGACGCAAACCATGTCTGCCACGGCATAATTTATTTTTCTGTGCTGTAGTAGACCCTATCATCCCAAATTAGTTTAAAAGAAAGAAGTATTGGTATTTTGTTTATTTATATTTAGAAGTTGTGTAGGTCTATTCATTTTACAATTCTACGGTCTTTAAATTTGTATATTTGCCGTAAATAGGTCACCTAGACCAATTTACGGCACTCCAATGTTAAAGGTTTGGATGTCGTAAATGGTGTCGTAATTCGTGAGACACAAGTCAAATAAAACAACGTGTTTTAATTATCAACATCTACCTGTTGTCATAATTCGTTGTACTCAAATAAAACAGAAACACCGTTTTAAGAATTGTTTTAAATTTTTAATCTCAAAGTAATAAAGTAATATTAGAAAAACCAAAAATCTGAGAAACAGAGTGGGGTAGGGCAATTTTATGCTTGGTCGGTTTGTGTCAAAAAGTTTTTAGATCCCTAGCAGAGTCTCTGTATCATTGATGAAAATTAAGTGAATTTGGTAAAAATTTGAATATATAAATGGAAATTTGATTTGCACTGAAGCAAATACAAAAGGCAGCAGATGCTCTGAAAATACACCAAGAAGGGTTGAATTTTCATAAAAGACCACGCCCCCCTCCAAAAAAAAAATTTGTCATCGCTACGCTCGGAAACAAGTTTTTCCACCACTCAGCAAATCCTGGCTACATCCCTGATGACATTTTCTCTTTAACATTTCAGGAAGGCCCACCAGATGAAGAATCTGAAACTAATGAAGATGGGAAACTGTCTATGGAATTGGTCAAATGTTTATATCAGGTAATTTCAGTGTTTATTAACCAATAGTGTAGCATGCACCACAGAATTCTCATTGAAACTGTGCATTCCGGTCATGATATTGTTATATCTGGTAAGACCAAAAATACCATTGTGGAGAGGTGCACTATGGCAGTTTGATTCTCACAAGCAACTATTTCGAAGCAATAGAGTCACTAGTCAGAGTAGCTGAAAATTCACTGTTGGCTGACAGGAATTGTTCTGTAATTGACAACACGTGTATGTTAATAATACAACATAATATATTCTTTACATGTATGTCTTGGACCAGTCCTGGTCGGCCCAAACACATTTGTTTATATGAAAATACCTGTCCTACTCGCCTTCATTTCAATACTGTTTTGTTTGAAAAATTAATAATTTTCTGCCTTATTGGATATGAATGTTATGGTAGAAAATTGGGTGTTTATACAATAATTATTTAATTCTTATATGTAATCCTTTTTAACTTTTTAAGCTGTACAAAGATATGGAGAGACATGAAGATAGATATTCAGAAATGGCTAGTGCTGATGTTAGTAGTATGGCAGTTAAACCAAATAAAATACTGGATATTATCAGGTATTTACATAAAATCAGTAATTTTTTTCAGGTTATCGGGTGGTTTAAGCTCACATTTCTAATAGGAGTAGAACTCGCTAACTTTGTAATCTAAGACAAATTTGGTGTAGGTCACGAATTATCTAAATGCAAAAATAGATAATCAAGACTTTTTTTTATTTTCATCACAACAGCGACAATGACGAGCAAGGCTACAAGGTTTTTAAAATGAGTACTTCTCGGCTAAGAGTGAAGTAATTTGACTGAAATTTTTAGAATATTCCCATTATCTATTATTTAATTATTATAGTGAGAACTGTCAGCTCGTCTAATCTTCCATAATGTATCTTTAATAAGTTAAACCTTTGATATCCTGTAGATAATTGTTAAATTTCATTATTTGCTCGATTTCAGGGAATTTAACCCAATGTTTGAGGGTAATTTTCAACATGATGCTCAGGAACTTCTTCGGTGTCTTTTGTGTTACCTTGCCGATGCTGAAAAAGCCTGGAGCAAAAAACATGAGGAGGTGAAATCTTACATTCCTGTAGCAAAACCACAACCAAAGATGAACCACATAATGAAACAGTTTCTGACAGCCTGTGAGAAACCGAAAATTAAAAGTGAACCCAAAACGCCTAACAAAGATTTATTAGATGAAATTCATACAATTGGAGAAATCAAAACAGAAAATGGTGACATTAAACCATTGGAGGGTAATTTAATGAAAAAAACTAATGGCAGTATGCCAGATGTTGAATTAAAGAAAGATGGGGTGGAAGAACTTGTCAGAAGAAGAGGAAGACCAAGCAAAAAGAAGAGGAAATTAGAGATTCCACTCAGTACAAAGGAACCCAACCATAACCCATCATTGAAGTCAGACAGCAGTCAACCAGGAATTAGCACCATGTTTTCCAAAAGTGAACAACCCCGTAGGAGACTTGGAATGCAGCGAGTGGTTGTTCGGCCGAGTACCAACCCAACACAACTACCTCAAACTAATCTTACTGATATCAACAACAACGAAGACCTCAATCATGATCATAATAATAACGAGAATGCTTTACCTAGTCGAAATATGTTACGATGTAGGTCATACGAGGCGTTACCAAATCCGAGTAAATCTTATCTTGTTTCTCCCATGAACAGATGCTGTAAAACTAAACGGCTTCAACTGAAACTAGAAAAGTGCGACAGTGTGTGCAACAGTCCTCTTAAGAGTGTCAATGCCACCCATGCCATGAAGAGCTTGAATTCTATGAAAGAAATGAATAATTTGTCTCCAATTGCGAATTGTCAAATTCAAGTAAACGGGAAAGATTTAATAGGAAGCCTTAACCCAGGTAGCGCTAAAAGAAAGATGTGTTTTAATGATGATGAAGAAAATCCGATTGATTCCATTACAAATGCAATATCTGAGACTTTCTCTCTTAAACCTCATTCTAAAACAATAGAACTGAGTCCTTCTACATCTAAGACCAACGGGTGTTTCTCAAAATCACCATTACCAATTATACAATCCCCCAGGAATCGACGCAGTGCCACTCCAGACAATACACCCACCAAGTGGAGCCGATGTGAACGTGCCCGAAGCCAATCGCCAAATATTTTGTCTGTTTCTCCAAGAAGACAGTCGCCGAGATTAAACAAAAAATTGCAAGATTCTGCCTCACTGTCAACGTCATCAGAATTATATATGAAAGTTTCTCCTGGAATGTCATCACTTGCCAAACGTAAAGTTAATTTCAGTGAAAACCCAGCGTCTTGTGCTCATAAAATGTCTATGAGACCATGTGTAAGCCCATTACGTTCCCCTAAGAAGAGCCCAGGAAAAGAAAAGGGAACTAACTGTGATTTTGTAGAAAAATTATTTCAAGGGACAATGATGTTAAAGACTAAATGTATGGAGTGTGAATTTGCTAAAGAAAGACAAGAAGATTTTCAAGATGTCAGTGTTCCTTTAAGAAGAGAAAAAGAGGATGTTGATTCTGATGAGGATGAAACAGATAAAGGTACTATAGTATAAATAAAGCAAAAAAAATTAAGCATGAAAATATTGTGAATCTTTAATTTCAGAATGCTTTTGCTGCATTATATCTAATTTTTTTCACAACTTAATCCATGTTAAAGTGTACTCAGATTGATTATTTAATATTTGAAGAGTCCATGGGAAGAACGATCTAAGTCACATTTTTGTCTTTTTGCATAAAAGGCAAAACAGACTTTTGGACGAGAATGAGAATGCTTGACGGAATGGAACAACGAGTGGGTTTAATTACAACTTCAAAATGATGTTTAATACGAATCATAATTACCAGTACAACAACTAACTTCCACTTTTCAGCCAAATTAAGGTCAAAGAAAGGGTACGATGGACGTATTTGTCCGGGAGGCCATTTCAGAAGGGCCTTGGTTCGATGTGACTCTGATCGTTTTTACCTGAAATTGATTGCTCCAAAGAAAGCTTATACAATTTGCTACCAGATGGCACTATTAACTGGGGTTCATTGAAAAAGTGCCTTAGATCGTTCTTCCCCAGGGCTCTTTAGTTAAGAAAACAAACTAAACCATCAAAGGTGCAATAGATATTCTTCCAGCTTTAATAAAGCAACCAACTGAGTAGATGTTGTTTCAGTATTTTTATACTTCCCTTTATTTTTTTGTTTATTGCGATTGAACTGCATTGGTTTGTTGAGTATAGCACTGGCTCACAAGCTAGGAGGTCCCAGGTTTGGCTGAAATGATACCTCTGGATTTTTATCTTGGTCAGTAATGCAGTACAGAGGGCCTGGCAAGGGATGAAGAATCAAAATCTTGTGTTTACCATTGGATGCATGTTAAAGATTCCCTGACAATTAAAAATAGAAATATAGAGCAGGCCGTATCTCTCGGCACACCACATGGCATATGCTGATCTCCATTAACTCAGTTGGTGTAGGAAAATCGAACAACAAACCTTGTTTTATTTTTGCTTACTGCACTCTTAAGAATACTAAGATACCACATTTAGCTTGATATTAAAGTTTAAGTAAGTACAAGAATATAATATTTTTTTTTTAGATGGTGTTGATGACTCCTGTTTGTCCAAGTTAATGTCCGCTTTTTCTGAAGTAGAGAGATTAAGGGAAGATAATAAATATTTTTGTGAGAATTGTTTTCGATACGTAGAAGCAGAGAGATCTCTACATTATGAAGTTCTACCTGATGTCCTTACATTACATTTAAAACGTTTCTCTGCCTCAGACAGGTGACTTTTATATATATAAATAGAATTAATTTATGATATTTTGATCACATTAATGTGGGCTATGGTACATGTATATAACAAAAACTCTTTTCCAAAAGTACTATATATCCATTTCAGTTTTGGGGTAAAATTGGACAGTTTGCTCTGAATTTTAATATATTAAGACGATATTTCATATATACTTTGACTAATAAATGTAGTTTTATTTACTGGATATTCTGGGGGTTGGGTGGCCGAATGGTTAGCATATCATAAAGCCTGTCATTGAGTCAACTGGCGTGGTTTCGTATCCCCGGTTGTACGTGACAAGGAGTAGGGTCGCCTGTCCAACCTTGTGGGTTTTCTCCGGGTCCTCTGGTTTCCTCCCACTGCTAAAGACCCCTACGCGCAAGCGAATTATTGAAATAAAATTAAACCATATGTTAGTCCCGAAATGACCTGGTTTGTGTCGAGTGGACGTTAAACCCCATTTCTCTCTCTCTTACTGGATATTCATTAATCGCAAGGATTAAAATATAATTTGATGCCGTGACTTTTCACAGCCCCCAAATATATGCTTGATTTACAAATTGTTTATTGTTTTACTTATGTCAATACTTATGTTCAAATCTTCTTCATTTAAAACATATTTCTTACTTATTGGTGTTTTTTTTGTAGGTTGTTTGGTAATTTATGTAAAATAAATGATCATATATCTATACCATTAACACTACCATGTTTACAGTATCAATGTCCTAGATCTTGTCGTAAACCTAATCATACGTAAGTTTATATTGTTAATATACAGTTTTACACCATTGAATGTGATACATGTAAGGGGTGTTGGGTGTTTGAGTCGTCTAACACTTGTGCTTTAGATCATAAGGTCATTGAGTCAAGTAGCGTAGGTTGACCCTAAGCTTGTACATGACTAGGGAGTAGGGTCACCTATCCAACTTCGTGGATCCTCTTTAGTGCTAAAGTCCGCTTACATGGAAGTGATTTATTGAGATAAATGACCTGGTTTGTGTTGATTGGACACTAAACCCCATTTCCCACTCGCTTGAATGTGACAAGAATGTTTTGATTATTTCTTTGTAATGTAGGAACAAGGGTTTTTCTACTGTGGCACCAAAAATTACAAATGATGTAGCTAAAATGAGCTACTACTGTCTACAGCACCACCACATTTTCCAAATACTGTTTTATATAATAATAATAATTTTATTTTCAATGCATGTAAAGCCACAGACCCATATTACACTCAATATATGTTAGCTCATGAATATTCATATTGATGATCGACAATTTTAACATCTATAAATAAATACAATTCATTTTCAATATACATGTACAGTCCATTTGATACATTTGTACAGTTTCATTTTTCAGTTGATCAGACATACTTTCAATATACAATGACTATGTTATAAGTGATTATATTTATTCACTTTGTACTCTGTGATTGTGCTTTATGTTTAGATTTTGATTTTATGTAATTGTCTCTTTTCAAGAATGCATGATATACAAATTTGCATATATTATTCATTACATCATCACATTTACTTTGTAAACAGTGTAAGGTTGATTCTCTATAATCCAAGTATGTGCTCACTTTATACAAAACTCTTAAATCGGTATAATTATCACAAATTCTCAGAAAGTGTAATTTGTCCTCGACCACAGTTTTGCATTTAGTTATACAGCAAAATTGACAATATCTCTCATAGCTATTTACACTGTTCACTCGACCTGTGTAAATACATCTAAATTATGACTACTCAATCTGAGTCGACGGTAAGCGACTCTATACAATTTATTTTCAACACATGACAGGTATTTCTCTGGTTCTAACAGAGATTTTATCTCACAATAGAATTGAGGTTTACTACAGCTTTCTATGTTTTCATGCCATTTCTGGGTACAACAATCTTTAACTCTTTGTTTGAATGTATACATAAAATTGTTTGAATTTCCTACTTGTTGACAGATCCAAACATATTGGAAGCCATAGATACTCAGTAATTCCTTAATCTTGGTACTGTAGCCCAAGTTATCCTACCAGCATTATGTAATTTTAGTAACATTTCATAACACCTTTTTGGGTATCTTTCATCACCCATTTCTAATATTTTTAGCCAATACTTAACGCACTTAGGGTTATATATGACATATAGCGGTGACCGCCCCAATTCCCCAAGTGAGGCACAGTTTGTTGTGGTTGGTTTTACACCTAGGATTTTCTTGCAGAATTTGTTTTGCACTGATTCTATTTTACTATATACTTCAAAACCCCAAATATCAGCACCATAACATAATATTGGGACAATCATATGGTCAAACAGAAACAGTGCCCTTTCATGACTTAGATTGTAAGTGTTAATAAACTTATATATAGGATGCAGAGCTCTTTCTGCTGAAAGACATAGTGATTTGATAGTTCGGTGCCAGTTATTGGTGCTAGTAAAGTATTATTATGGTGAATATCATAATCGACTAGTCGGCAACCTAATCAAACCTAATTAAAATTGGCTGTCCTGAAACCAATCTTTGTTCTTTTCAGGTACTCTTTGTATGGTATTGTTACACATGCTGGTACAACTATTACATCTGGTCATTATCTTTCTTATGTAAAGGTGAGGTCAAATGACATGGATAATATCAAAATGTATTCTGACGGACCAAATTCTCACTTAATGGACCATTCCTCCAAACACAGTGTAGCATGGTATGAGTGTGATGATGAAGCCATTCGCATCTTTAGTGATGAAGAATTTCGAGAAAAATTAACCGGAAAAGAGGCATCATTAATGGGAACTCCTTATGTTTTATTTTATCAACGTCAAAGTATGAAAGTCTGAATAAGGCCACATACAAAATACAAATAATATTCTTGTTCTCAATATAATCCCTTGTCCCTTAAATTACCACATGTAATTGTTTTAGCCCTAACTGGAAGTAAAAAAATATTCATGAATCCAAAAATTGTGTTGTAGGCTTATTTATCAAGTATAATAATGTTGTTGACAATCGTAAATGATACTGGATAATCATATATTCCTATGAATAACATGATAATCTTGAAATGTGAAGTCTTTTAGCCCAGTTGTGATCATTTGACAAAATAAACATACAGAAATAAAAACCACTGTCTCCCATCAGATTTTTTATTAAGGATTGTCTGAGGATCAGAATATGTATTTTGTGTGGCCTAATAGTTATTTTTGGTCACAAACTCTTTTTAATAGCATGCAAAACATGCACATTACTGTTTAAAATGTACACATTTTATAATAATAAATAGACAAAATCAAATTACAAGTGATCGAATATAATTGTCAATAAAAATGTACAATTCTGTAAATATTTTTTCTTGTGTGTGTACTTTAGTCTTCCGTTGTTATATTTGTAATAAATATAAAACATGATACTTATTCTTTTTATACATCCACATGAAAATGTATATTGTTGTTGCCCCTGGACGTCCAGTCAGTCAGGCAGTCTGTCCATCCACAAATTGTTTGTGTACACTGTACAGTTCACAATTTTTATTTGATTTTGACGAAACTTGAAATATAGGTTTATCTCCCCAAGATTACAGTTCCTTTCGATCGAACCGTAACTTCATGGATTATGGTCCCTGATCATGTTTTTAGCTTTTGGACACTCTAGATGTCACAAATTTTATCCAATTGTGATGAAACTCAAAATGTAGGTTAAGAACCCACAAATCATGATTCCTTTCGATATTTGTGCATATCGGGTTGTAATTTCCTACCACAAATTGTGTTTTTAGTTTGTGGCCCATCTAGAGCTCAATATTTTTGTCCGATTTAAAAAAAAAACATTTAAATATATCACTGTAACTCCATAAGGCCAGTTGAGTTAGAATTTTGTGAAAATCGGACCAAAACTGCCCAACAAAATGGCCACTCCTTGTCACAAATAGTGTAAAGGCATGTAATACCAAGGGCTTCCACTTCGAAATTTCCCCAGCTTAGAGGTCACAACTTAAACCGATTTTCTTGAAACTTGAAATGTTTGTTTATATCCCAAGATTTTGGTTCCTGACAATAATTGTGCATATCGGAATGTTACTTCCTGGATTATGGACCCTGATTATACAAAAAATCGTGTTTTTAGTTTGTGGTCCCTCTACATAGAGGGCCTTGCAAATGACAAAATGTGTCTTGTTGTTCAAATGGGACGCAAAACCGAAGTCTATCCATGTACAATTTTCCCTCATACCACACTGACATTGGTATGTTTTATAGCATTGCTACAAAAACTCCTTCGGTATTTTTTTCATAGTATTGCTACAAAAATATCTTTTGGCAAATTTCATATTTTTGATACAAAAAAATAGATAATTTCTTATATTTTTTAGTATCACTACAAAAGATATTTGGAGTATCACTACAAAAGATATTTGGGAAGTTTTATAGTATTGCTACAAAAATCATTTGGTATGTTCTGTGGTATTGTTACCAAAAAAAAACATTTAGTATACTCAGAAATATTTTTTGATAAGCGTCATATATAGTATTGCTATTAAATAATCACTTGGGATGTTTTATAGCATCATTACAAAAAAACCTTTAGTATTTATCACTACAAACCCTTATTATGGTTAAGTGTATATTATTATTACAAATTCATTTGTTATCTTTTATGGTATTGCTACAAATAAACCCTTATTTAGTTAATAGTTTTATAGTATTGCTACAAAAAAATCTGTTGATGTGTTTTATAGTATTGCTACAAAAAAATATATTTTTAAGAATTAATAAATAAATGTATGGTGTATTATAGAAGAAAGACATAGGTACTAGTTGATGTATTATTTAGCCAAGCATGGTCTAATTCTGATTATTTTATTTTAATGATTTACTACATATTAAATTATTGCTTTCTTTTATATTTACTCCTATTGATGAATTTTTTAGTTGATATCTGCATACTAATTAGTTTACTTTTATTTATTTTTCATAGTTGTATACTTATTAGTTATTACTTATCTGATTTGTAATTTATGCTTTGTTTATTTGAATTAATATATAATTTACCTGAATTAACATGCATGTATATGTATACACTAAATAGTACCCATATTATGTTGTTGTTTTTTTTTTTTAAAAAAACAGATACAAATTTTTCATTTTTAGAGCTTTAGTAGTTCACTTCAATGTGCTAATCCACAACTAGGCCTACTACTTTCTAATAATTGTATTATCAACTTCATGGTTCTACATGCTATCAAAATAACAATTAGTTTCATCCACTATAAAATAGGCTTTATCTCATTCATCACAGCATCCATGTAGTGCACTGACCTTAGTTTTGCTCACAGTTTAATATAAACATTCCCGGTCTAATTTCACAATTAAAGTCTGTTAGAGATTTTTTACAGTCGGGTTATCGTCTTTGGATTATGGAAAGTTAGAAGGGCATTGCTCAATTGATAAAAGCCTGTCATAAATTGACTCCAAAAACAAGGTTATTGAATACATATATATTTATTTATTCATTTATAATAATAAATTTGTATAGACTGAGAAGTTTATTTCATTCAATTGTATTAATGAGGTTGAGTAGACTTGAGAGAAAATATTTTCTACCAACTGCATATATATATGTCTCCTATTTTATATAATTTTTTCTTTGTATTGAAAAATTATTAAAGAAATGAATAATAAAATTTGTCGTTTTATTTACTCATAGATCTGCTATTTACTGAAGCAGTCATAAACAATGGTAGGCACTAGTACAGGACCCTGAGTTCACAAAGCATTCCCAGACTTAAAAATATACTCAAATTTTTTTAAGTAAAATATAGCCCTTTGTAAAACTTTTGTTGTTTTAATGTATCAAATAAATCAGTAAAGTTTTGTGTTTCTGGATCAAAGATATTGAAAGTTGAGTAAATTCTTAACTTAAACATGAGAATGCTTTGTGAACTCGGGGCCAAGACTTGGACAGGTGAAAAATGGAGGGAGGGGGGAACAGCACACCACTAAGAGCTGGGGGGAAGCCTCCGAAACACAGACGTAAATACACTGTTGGATGGTAGGTGCTAATTGGCACTGGCCCAAACCCGATGTCAACTCCCGGCTCGAAATATTGCTTCAGACTGTAACCATGAAATCTTCACTTACAGACTGCACTGTACTGGGTCCCCAGCGAGATTTTCTCTCAAGAAAAAGTCTTATTTTTATTATAATCATTCATCTACCACCTTGTTAGACCTTTTAGGTTTCCTGCTTGATTACAATTTGTCACTGAGTAAACTAATTTTCTCAGAATGGGAGTATAATAATATAGCCAATGTAGTCAGTTATGCAAACTTTTTAGATCAACACAAATATCATCTGTTGATCTATTCTAAGTGTCCACGTTATACACCCTCACTGTTGTCTGCCCTCCATTGATTTAACCTAAAATCGGCAAACCAATTTTCAATTGATTGGTTACACTGGGGAGACAAAAAAAGTCTGTCAAGTGTCCCATGCCTTTTGACGGATGGTCTTCTTAAGGCAAGTAGTGGTAAGTGATCTGATTGGTTGAGACTTTGGAACAATAATTCTGCTTTTAATTGAGGTAGAATGTTCAACTAGATGTTCACTAAGTCGAATGTCTTGACTGAGTTTGATGATTAACATATCCAGCTAATAATAATGCAGAGATAAGTAATTTGATTGCTCATTGCATTGGGACAAGAAAATGTTTATACTGATTAAGGATCAAGAATGGTAAAATTTGGGGTATAGTTTCACTATATCAACACTGACTATAGTAAGTTGGCCGATCATGAGCATTTTCTGCTTATTGATGAACAGCTTGATTGCTCGGTGCTTTACAAAAAATGAATGTGCAATATACAATAATCTTTGTCACTTATTTATTTTTGGATTCAGGGGTGGAATATCAGCCTTACTTCGTCTGTTAATAATTGGTATCTTTGACCAATGTCCAGAATCAAGTTGATGCTCTGAGGGGCTAAAGTTGTTACTGGTACAATAAATTTAGGTCACTGTTCTTGAAGAGTTATGCCTTCTGTTTACCCATATAAAAAAATCAATGTGATAACTTGTATGGGCTTAGTGATGGCGTACGTTTCTTTGCCAGACAAACTTTGATTCATAGCACAAAGTTAACTGTGGTTCTATCCCTGATGTACCTGTCGAAAAGGTATGGTAGAGTTATCTGTCCCAATGATCAACAATGGCGTTTACTTTTGCAGCATTTTGTTACATTGTGGCATTAATATTGACGGCAGTATTGATATTTTTCGCGATATTTCATGTAAGCCTTTATATCTTATATATGTATTGTTATTTAATTACATCATATTGTCATTACTTACATCATTAGACTTAATATTGACCATTAAATTAGCGAGCCATCGAAATCGTCCGGCTACTGATGACTCAATCTCATCGGATTCGTATTTATATTTGTTCAGGCATGTTTAATTCCTCAGCACCTCATTAAATTTTTCCCCTTTATTGTATGTACGACGGTATAGTCGCAAGACATACTCTTAAAATACCCACAGATGGTGCTTGATTTAGATGAAGAGCGGAAAGAGATTAGTCGACTGACAGTCGAGGATGATGGAGGTGTAAGCTACAGTGAATGAAACGCTTATGACACTTATTATACACTTATTAGGTCGAAGTAGAAATGGTTCCAGTACTGATATCTTCCGTTTTGCTCCAGCCACAGCAGTGGAAAGTCCTAAGGCCTATCTTTGAGCAAGTTTTGTAGTCATTTGACTAAAAAAAAAAGTTACTGGCCTATCTATAGTACAAATTCCTTAATTTCCAATTTGAATTACACCAAACTGTAGGCCTACTAACTGTACATAGCTTAACATATAATAAACCAATTTCCTTTGAAATAAAGGTGAAACCTTACCGCATAATTATATGATTTGATTAAACCCAACTGCTATAGATGCAAAATTTCTGTTCATTTTTAAATGGCTGCCAAACCAGAATCACGTTTTCATGTCACTCGAAAATTAAGAAAAACTGTTTGGTAAGATAAGATGAACATTTCAGTGTTCCACTCTTCACTATTTGTTACATAATTACTTATTTCCATGTGGCCCTGCCTCAGCCCCTAGGCACTTCAGCTTGCCAAGCCTAAAGCAGTGGACACATTAGCCGAATCAATCGGCGCTGAATTTTATTCGGCCGAATGGGTGGACACACTAGCCGAATGCTTCGCCCGATTCAACCTGTCGATTGCGTCACCTTTCACGTCACATGATTAAACATGGCGGCGTCTATGTCTTCAATCTATCACATGACTTCTCGATATGAGTGGTGATTGGCTAATGAATTCTATATTCGGCCGAATATATCAAACATGTTTGATTCGGGCGAATCATTCGGCCGAATGACAGTGGACACACTAGGCGAATTTCGACGCCGATTGATTCGGCCGAATCATTCGGCTAGTGTGTCCACCGCTTAAGTAAATACAGCACTGCAGAATACAAATTGACAAAATTTAAAACCCTACTTTGGAATTGGAACCAGTCAATCATCATTATGATGAGTAGTTGCGCTTTGCCTCATTTTTTTTGGTCATCCAAATGACTGTAAGTAGGCCTACTGTAGGCTACATGTAGTATGCTGTTTCTTGGCAGGCACTGCATCTGCACCTCTGGCATGGATTTGATGGGTAAGCCATGCTTGAGAATCCACCCTGGCTCCCTAGATGAATTTCACAGAATTGTTTTTCTTTCTTCCTATGCAGGCCGCAGGGGGATATTTATCATCTCTAATAATTAATAATGGGGCACTTTTTTCTTCCAGATAATTGCTTTTGATGAATTGAAAACAGATTACAAGAATCCAATAGATCAATGTTCTAGTCTTAATCCAGTAAGACAAATAAATTTACAATATTTTATTGTGGTTTTTTTTTTTTACATTTAAACTGAGGTTGTATAATTGTTGTCATCTGGATGATTGATCAAAATTTTTAAGGGTTTATGTCATGATATGAAGAAGCATAATTTCCGATAATTACTGTCAGATTTATAGACCTTGATAAATTTGAAAATCTTGTTATACTGGGCTGCACAATGATTAAGTCCATGAGGCAAATTTTATTCAGTAGCTGAAGTTACACATGTACATTTTTTGTATAATAAACTAAATAAATGTTAGCAGTTAGCACTATGAAGCCAGTCAGATAATCTTAATGATATTTTATTTTTCAGCTTGTTTTGCCTGAATATGCCATACATCTATTGTTTACAACACTATTTCTGTTTGCATTTCAATTTGGATCGCTAATATTTAATTTACCATTAGCTATTTATCATATAAGGAGGTGGGTATATTTATATCAATTTTACAAAAGTTAATAATAATAATAAGGGTTGAAAATTAGGCCAATGATCTTTCTTACATTTTGCCCTTTAAACAATGAGAACATATATCCATTAATAAGATAGAAAAAGAGATAGAAATTCATACATTAAAAAGCTGCCAGCTTGAAACAAATTCATAGCATTTTAATCTCTCTGCATTTTGTTCTTTAAAAGGGCAATTTTGCTTACATACATGTATATTGTATCATAGCTACAAATGTAATCATAAAGAAATACAAACATTTCAGAATACAGATAATGAAAATACATGTAGGCAAATTTTGACCTAATTTAGCATTATCGATTATTTAAAATGGAACCTTTTCATGCTTAGTTAGACTAATGATAAATTTAAGAAACAATAGACACAATTTATTGTATCAATTTACCTAAATACATGTTTGTAAATCATTTCTTTCATCATTAGGTATATGTCTCGACCTGTGATGTCTGTACCAGGTCTATATGATCCTACATCTATAATGAATGCAGATGAGTTAAATAGAGCCCAGAAGGAGGGATGGATTAAACTAGCCTTTTACCTCATTTCTTTCTTTTATTATTTATACAGGTTAGTCTATTTTTCTGTCATGTCTTCGGTTATTCAAATTACCATATTTACTGACCCAATATGTTTTATCCTAAACCGTGGACCCCAAGCTTGTTTTTCTCATTACCCAGGTCCCAAAAATCGATCTTCGCATAGTTTTCACTGAAATTTTAGTATTTAAAACAGTCCCATTTGACTTTATTTATCCAGAACATTACTCTTTAATTAAGCTAGAAATGTTAGTATATCAATAGTAAACAGTTTTCAGTATAAAAAATGAAATGACAAAGGCTTTAATGCAGTTAGCTGTATCCAATCTGAGCCCACAAACCCCACAAAGTAAAGACAAGTATTATTAGTGTCTTTAATGTGTATTATCTCCCTTGTATCAACAACGGGATGTCAACCTATGCTGATAAATTAACCAGATCATCCGTGGCTAACACAACCTACTTCAGGCCTAACATGCAGCATGTTTTTATTGTATTAATTGTATTAATTGTATTGTATAAAACTTTAAGGATTGATACTCGAACAGAGCCAAACTTACTCTGAACACTATAACAGATCTTATAATCTAATGCTCATGTGTTATACCCCTCGCCTACTCAATATTCCCTAATATTAATTGAACAATCTCAGCAATTAATTTAGCTTAATTAAATATTGTTTCTTTTGTTTTTTTTAGTATGATATACGTGCTAGTTTCTTCCTGAATCAAGCCTACTACAAATATTAGAATATTGAGAGAGTACAAAAGTATTGAAATACAGAAGATAGATTTAGCATTATCATTTTATTAACCAGAGTTAAACTTTATCTGATATTTATTACATTCATCTGTATGTTATAACACCAACATGTAAATCATATCTTCATAACATACTATATTTTACATTTTCTCTTTTTTAAAGAAATAACAGAAAATTTTGTCTAATTTTTAATCATTATGAAGTTCTAATATTTGACTTTGTGTAAATTTGTTTGGAATTAATTTAGCTCATGTTTCTCACTTTCTTGTCTTCAATTTGAATTGAAATCATTATGTAAATATGTGGCGCAATGTTCATCTTCATTGTCTAAGCTTGTTTTCTCCAATAAGTATTTAGCTGTTAAAGTTGTATGTACGTATCTGAACAATATCCTCCAAGAAATCATTGTTGTCAAATATATAATGAATGTCTTGTATATTTTAGGAACACAAATTTAAAGGCGCATTATGTAAAATTTAGATACTATAATATTCCAAAACAGATAATGCAAAATGAATATATTGAAAATTTCAATCAAATTACTTAAGTTTGAGCGAAGTTATCAAAGGTTGTATTTATGACAAGATGTGTGCATTGATTGTAACTATTGTACTGGTCATTCCAGTCTTAGCCTCCCTTCTCCATTTTTAGATTAAATCATTAAATGGATGAACCGTTCTAATCTACTTAAAATCAGAGCCACCCAATGCCACCGAGAGTTAACTATGATCTTGTCATGATAATAAATGTCTTAATTAGTAATTTTTATAAGGCCCAAAGAACGCCTGTAATAAGCAGATTTAGCTCTTACATAATGTCTGTTTAATTAGTCCTTGAAAAAATAATTTTCATGTTGGCATTTTTATTGCCCAACACTTGCCCAAGTATAAAGATCAAATAAAATATAAATTGAAAAAATTCATATTGTTGTTTTAGAGAAATAAACAGAATGAAAAGCCTGGATAGATCAAATAAAATATTTTATCAAAGTAGAACAACATTATTTTGTTAATGTTCTGTTTTCAATTTTTGATCAAATGTTAAAATGCTTTATTTACATGTTGTGCCTTGTTTATTATTGTGCATGTGTATCTATACTATGTAAGTATGATAGCTAAAAGCTTGACATGCCAGGATTAAATTTTGTAATAAAATGTTCTAAAGTTAATCATCATTGTGTCCTTTGAATTTAAATGGCATATATTTGACTGTTCAATGTAGATTTAAATTTCAGAAAGATGAATGGAAAGGGTTGAATTTGAACTTAAAATCTCAATATTTAAAACTTTTCATTCCACAAATATGAAAATCAACCGATCTTATAATAATTTATGGCCAGCTTAAGTTTACATTTTTTTAATTTCTCGTTTTTTTACTTATTGTAATGTGTAAATGGACGTGTAAAAAAAGACATAAATGGAAAACCATTGTTTGAACAGTGGTATTATACCATGGTATTTTACCAGACTCAACATCTAAAATGTTGTACCATTGTTTCTCAACTTTTCAATTGTTCCACTAATAGAGAAGCCATTTTAGATGAGTAATTTTGCCCTGGATTCGATTATATGAAACTGTAAAGATTATAATCTGTGAATGGCCTGGCAAAATGCGACCCAGCTTGTACTTAGTATCATGAAAATTAAATCGTTGTCTGATAAATTTGAAAAGTGACCAAAATATAGGTTAAACCTAATTCACTACATTGTATAATCTTTTTTTTTGGCGGGGAAAGTTAGAGGGGCAGTTGTCATGGAGGCTCAGTAAGGCACCAGCTCTCCTGCTTACTCTTGTTAGTATTACATGATGGAAGGTTTGGCACGGAAAATGAAATAAAATGGGGTTTAACATCCTACTTTTCTGCACTGGCAAGAAAAAGCGTCCTGTGTACACCGTGGCATTTGAACATTGGATATAAAGTACGCAGAAATGCCCATCGCCTTGCTAAAGTTTCTTCTTAACACATATTGCATGGCGTATGCCCCTTTCCTTTATCCGGGTTGGGGGGGATCACGGTGGCTAAGTGGGTAAGGCGCTGGCTCGCTAGCCTGGAGGTCGAGTGTTCGATCCCTGCATTGGCCGAGAAAGTTCATCCAGATTTTCCGGAGTGGTTCTCCCTTGTCAGTGATGCAGGACGGAGGGGCTGACAAGGACAGCTGTCTAGTCGTTCGGATGGGACGAAAAACCGAGGTCCCGTGTACACATTGGCGTGCACGTTAAAGATCCCTTGACAGTTGGAATTCGATATAAGAGTAGGCCGTAGTGCCGCTGTCCGGGCAAAATTTCCCTCATAGCACACTGTATGGCGTATGCCTGTCTTCATTAGCCCAGTTCGGAGCAAAACAGTAGGACGTTAAACCCCATTTCATTTCATTTCATTTCATTTATCCGGGTTGGTGAAGAAAGAGAGAGAGAGAGAAATGGGGTTTAACGTCCACCCGGAGAAAACCCACGAGGTTGGACAGGCGACCCTACTCCTTGCCTCGTACAACCGGGGATTCGAAACCACACCAGTTGACTCAATGACAGACTTTATGTTACAGCGCACACGTGCTAACCATTCAGCCATCCAACCCCCCTTGGTGAAGAGTTAAATCCCATTTCATTTATAATAATAAATAATATGTATATTTATACCGCCTACAGTTCCATGCTAGTATGCATACTCAAAGCGCTACACAGTCTGGGTGTCATAATAGGCCGTAAATAGATGAGTTTTTTAATTAATGTTCAGCGGTAATGAATTCCACAGAACAGGCACAATATGAACAAACGATCTGTATCCAAATGATTTGAGTTTATATTTTGGAATTATAAGAAGATGTTCTTGTTGAGAATGGAGTGCACGCCCAGGAAAATATGGTTGTAAAAGATCTACTAGATAGAAAGGTCCATTTCCATGTAAACACTTATACGCAAGGCACAAGAGCTTAAAATCTATTCTTGATTTAATTGGCAGCCAGTGAAGTTCTTTGAGTGCTGGTGTAATGTGCGAATTCCTGTTTATTCGACTGATGATTCTAGCTGAGTATTGTGAAGGGTTTGGAGTTTTGATATCAGTTTGTGGGATATTTCAGATAACAGGTTATTGCAATAGTCTAATCTTGATAATCCGGTTTCCTCCCACTGCTAAAGACCCCTATGCGCATGCGAATTATCTAAATAAAATTAAACCATATGTTAGTCTAGAAATGACCTAGTTTGTGTCGAGTGGACGTTAAACCCCACTTCTCTCTCTCTCTCTCTAATCTTGATAAGACGAGCGATCGAACCAGAGTATAAGCTGCGTCCTTCGATATGAGATGACGAATGTTTCTGATAGAGCGGAGGTGGAAAAAAACAGGTTTAGAGATATAATAATTCTGAACTTCCACGGAGAGTTCCGAATCGATGTAAAAACCCAGATTTTAAACTTTGTTGACGGGTTTAATTTCTGAGTCAGCTATTTTCAAAGTTGATGTATCTGATTTTGATAGTGAGTGTTTTGATCCGATCATGATAGCTTCAGTTTTATCATCATTTAATTTCAACATATTGGTGGACATCCAGCTTTTTAAAGATTTGGTGCATTTTGAAATGATTGGTCAAAGTCACTGGGATAAAAACTATCAATACGGTAATCTCAATGTCGTCTGCATAAGAATGGTGTAATAGGCTGTATTGGCTGATGATATGAGATACACTAGTTGTGTAGAGAATAAACAGGACAGGTCCGAGCACCGAGCCTTGGGGAACTCCCCAGTTTAATTCAACTGCATCCGATTTCGCATCTGCAATGGCAGTTGATTGAATTCGATTGTTTAAGTATGAGGCGAACCATTTTAGACAAGGTCCATGAATACTGTGTTGGGTTTCGAAAGTCTTCAACATAAGATCACGGTTAATCGTATCAAAGGCTGTAGATAAATCTAGTAACACCAGAGAAACCATTATTCATTTCTTTTTTTTTTGACAATTTCTTAATACAATCTACAACAATTTCTTAATACTGAAACACTAATTATACAATCAAACTGTATGTCATATAATGTTTTAATATGCAAAAGTAAAAGAAACTGTAAATATAAAGATATGTGTTTGGAATTAGATCGAGTGGGCAGAGTTGGGGACAGGGAGGGCAACATATTTCAGAATGTGATATTGCCCGGGAGTGGAGTACCGTAGGAAAGCTGGTGGGGTGTTAATCAGAACGACAGAAGCGGACGAATTTAATGCCAGATATGCTTAACATTGTATCCCTTGGAAAGTTTACGAGACGAGCCTGATAAGGTTTATAGATCACAATTATAAAGAAAGGTGTATCAACATTTACATACTATCTGATATATATATCTAGATATACAAAACAATAATTTCCAGACATTAGGAGCAACGATAAAATTGGTAATACCGGCGCCATTAAATACATTGATTTCCTCTTTAAAAATTAAAGTTTAGTAAGCATATAATGTCAACATACCACGTACACCCAACATCGCGTATAATGCAATGAAATGAAATTGGGTTTAACGTCCTATTTTTGTGCACCAACTGGGCTATTGAAGGCGGACATAATACAATGTGCGATGGGGTAAATTTTGCGGCATTACGACCTACTCTTATTTCGAATTCCAATTGTCAAGGTTGAATATAATGCCATATGAAATTAAAGCGACAATATGACCATGGAAGCCACAATAATCTGTCATCATTAATCGTACTAATTATTGACTATATGCATATTAATTAAAAATATAAATCTTTAAACAATAATTGATGAATAGTGACCATTATATATCTCTCTGCAACACTTGAAAAGAGACGTTATTTTGGTAGCCAACCAATTAAAGAATTAAGAGCTGTGAAACGGTATATTTAATTTGCAATTTCGCTAAAATATTAAATTTCTCACAGCTTAATCCTCACAAAATATTATCTACTCATAGATTAATTATTAAACATTTAATGCAGAAAATAAAATCAAAATATGAACTCTATATAATCTCCCGGCTTGGATTCAGTCAGATTTAAACTGCAGGCCCACCGGGTTTTTTCTCCGAGTCTCTTCATATGTAAATAACTAAATAAAATAAACCTGCCTATATTATCATGTATAATGTATTAGACGTTAAATTTGTAATAAACAACAAGTCAACAACAACAGGTTTCTCTGATACCAATAAAAGATGGCGGTGTCTTGTTACATAGCGAGCAGCATAGATCCATGAAATTTCAATTGATCATAACTTTATAAATACTGAATGGGATTTTGTAACTGATATTCTTATTAGAGATTAAACTGTCACAATATTGCAGTATGCAAGGGATTCCTATAGCACTACACGAGACATCATACCTTTAAATAAGTTTGCAAATGACCATAACAGGTTTTAAGACTGAATTTGGTTGGGTGTTATAAATTAATAACTAATAAAGTACAGGCTCAAAATAGAATAAAGATCAACAAACAAAATCAAGGAAGTTATTAAACTACATGTATCTGTCAAGACGGTTTAATATTCTTCGTCATCAGTATCACTTATTAGGTTTGAAACGTCTTCCAGTGTGACCGTAGATGACAAGGGCTGTATGGAAGATAAACAAAACAGAGATATTTATGCAACTTTTATTAAAAAAAAATTATATAGTATTGAATTTGTCCACAGATATTGTATTATTTTTCATTGAGAACGTTACATCTGATTAACCGTGGAATATTTTGTACTTATATCAGATGATTTTATACAGATGAAGGATTTTCTCTATTAATTTACTGGTAATGTGTGATCTGATAACCGCGTCTATCACATGTTTGCAAACCCATAGACATAGTTTTCCTAATATGGAAACAGTGGTGATTTTAGAGACTTAAATCAATCACACATGGAGGCTGGCATCGACAAACACGTGCTACCTACTTCCAGTTATTTAAAGGGAACTACGAAACACGTTTCTAATGTACCGTTGCACACAATTAACCAGTTTTATTCAATAAAACATATTTGGGACAGCCACTTTAATTCATTGCTACTGCACACACACTTTAGATTGAAATGAAATGGAATGTGTTTAACGTCATGCTTTTCTGCAGCGACTGGACTAATGAAGATGGACATACGCCATGCAGTGTGCTATGAGGGAAGTATTGCCCTTACAGAGGCGCTATTTAGAATTCCAACTGTCTAGATTATTTTTACTGGCAGGATAATGTGTACACGGGACCTCGGCTTTTCGTCCCATCGGAACGACTAGAACTGACCTTGCCAGTCATCCCGTCCTGTACAACTGACAATTATTGAGAACCGCGTTAGAAAATGGTAGCGCCTTACTCACTACCAACGCGGCCCCCTGTCACAAAACACTACATATATTTTCACTTATTTAAAGGGAAATACGAAAAACGTTTCTAATATCTCTTCAAACAGTTTAGTTTCATTCACTAAAATATAATTGGGACGGCCACTTTAATTCATTAAAATCGAAACTGGAGAAAGTGTTAACATTGGTGCACTGCTGTACACACACTTTAGACAGATAGCGGAAATAAAAAATAAAATGTGCTATTATGAACAATTTACCTTGGGGATAACTCTTTCCAATGTTGATATTGCTACTTCTTCCCTTCGTTTTTTACAGATTTTTCCAGCATAAGCCATGATCATTATAATCATTGCTCCTGTTATACTTATACCAATAGGTATCATGATACTTATCATATACTTCTCATCCTAGAATATGAATATGATAATTATTACATTTATAATCTATAGACTGATTATTTTTCTAAAAAAAATGATATTAACCATTTATATGCAGTACCTAGACGACAGTGCAGAGCAACACAGACAGTCCAAATTATCACGGCATATAAAAAGCTAGGATAGATAGATAAATACATTGACAGAAGAAGTCGTGTTGGCTCAGTGAGTAAGACAATGGTTCGTGGACCAGGACGTCCCGGGTTCGCCCCCGAGGTTGGGGGAACAAGTTCCTCGTGGTTTGCGTCGTGGTTTCCCCTTGTCAGTGGAACATGGCGTTTGGCCTGACATAAACTGTTTCTAGTCGTTCGTAGGGATGGAACCAATTAAGGTCCCATGTAATTTGTAAACATGGGTCACTGTCTGGGCAAAAATTTCCTCATACGCATACTGTAGATGCCCGTCTTCCTTAGCCCAGTCGGGGCAGAAAAGTAGGACGTTAAACCCCATTTCATTTATAAGCTGGTGAGAGGCATAACTGCATCTGAATACTGAGTATAATTCCAGCTACATGGGAAAACTGATTTGTTAATCCGAGTCGAACGTTGCAACGATACTGAACGATAATAATCCTGGCATCGGATCGAACGATTAAGTTATTTCGCTGATTAATGACACCAATATCAAGGGAGAGAGAAAGAAATGGGGTTTAACGTCCACTCGACACAAACTAGGTCATCTCGGGACTAACATATGGTTCAATTTTATTTCATTAATTGGCCTGCGCGTAGGGCTCTTTAGCAGAGGAGCGAAACCGTAGGACCCAGAGAAAATCCACGAGATTGGACAGGCGCTCCCACTCCTTGCCACGTACAAGCGGTGATTCGAAATCATGCCACTTGACTCAGTGACAGACCTTATTATGCAACGCGCACGCATTAATCATTCGCCCTTGTCCCCTACAAATATCAAATATAGTTAATAAATTTAGACTTCGGTACCTGCCATACTGAACTGCCGAAAGGCTCGTCATCTTGCTGTATATCATCTGAAATGTATATCCATATAATTGATCATGTCAAGTTAAATTTATGTCGATTATTGAAAATCACAAAACGCACAGTAGTATGCAACCAGTGGCTGCCAGGCAGGATACGCCCACATTTTGCAAGAGATGGATACAGAACATGCTAAAACAAAATGCGATTTTTCGTGCAATAAAAGAACCATAATTGAGGAAGTTACGATCCGATATGCGCAAATATCGACAGGAACCAAGACCTTTGGGTTATAAACATGTATTTCAAGTTTCATCAAAATCAGATCAAAATTGTGGCCTATTGTAATATATTCAAACGGTTTTTTTTAAATCGGATAAAAATTATGACCTCTAGAGAGATCACAAGCTAAAAACGCGATTTTTCGTACAATCATGGGCCATAATTCAGGAGGTTATAACCAAGACCTTTGGGTTATAAATACGAATTTTAAGTTTCATTAAAATCAGATGAAAATTGTGACCTCTAGAGTGTCCACAAGCTAACAACAAGATTTTTAGTACAATCAGGGACCATAATCCTTGAAGTTGTGGTCCGATATATGCCAATATCGACAGGAACCGAGATCTTTGGGAGATAGACCTATATTTTAAGTTTCGTTAAAATCGAATAAAAATTGTGACCTGTAGAGTGTAGACGGACGTCCGGGTGGACGGACAGGGGCGACGACAATATACGTCCACATGAGAATGTGGGCCTATAAAAAGGGGCTTATATTCCGTATGTCTAGAGAAGCAAGTCCAAAAATATTTTTGGACATTGTCCCAAGACCATCTAAAACTCATTGGAAAAAAGCCTATATCCTTCACAATTGGCATATCTTTGGTATAACCTGATTTTCTAATTCTGTAATTCTAATTCAAGGCACACTTGCAATATGTTAATCGCAGGCGGAAATCAAATGTCAGTTATTAGACATGCCTTCAACCCAGTAAATTTATCATGCCAAACTAAATAGACAGAACTGCACAGTAACGGATTTCTTAAACCATTTTTTTTAAAATAAATAACTTTCAAGTTAACCGATTTCGTATTTAATTGTGGTGCATTTTACGCTTGCGTCAGAATCTCAAGAAATATTAGAGACTGTTTACTTGAAGAAAAACATTGATTATAATAGGCAAGGTCTCAATATCAACTTCTGTATCACGTAAAGGGCACGTCTTGATTTGATCCTAAAATATAACACCAGGAAGAAGCAATATTACGTCTTACGATTTTACGATGGCTTTCTTTTAGCTCCAGTTTTTATGACCAATTTCTTGACATTACAAAGCGTTAAAATCTTATAAACATGTTGTCAGTGGGCAGATATCCTTAATAAAGTACAGAAATGCAATGATTTTTATCAGATCTATTTGTGTATTCTACTTTATCTAATCTTTAATTCATCTATTTTTTCTGTGGCTGCAATATCGACACTTTTATAAGTTAATAACACACGATGATATTAATGATCGACTTATTATTCAAAAGCTTGTCCGTGATTCAGAATACATGATATTTAATTGATAAATGGGATACTACGTCTCGTCAATATATAATTTCTGTTTGAAGAAATTTCATTGTTCTGAGTAGATGAATAAACAAGGAAGTTATATTTGCAAGAATGATGAAATGATATGTCAAACATATACTACTTCACTTCCTTGATATTATTCACGATAAGGTGTCTCCAATTGATAGATCGTAAAACAAATCTAATTTTCCAATCGTAGTAACATAGGGACGATTTCTTTTCTTAATAATTTTTCTCTATACTGGAATTAAACGCAGGAACTTTGAACCGAGATATTACCGATTCAATTTTAGGCTAGCCTCGATCGTCATTACTACGATTGGTACGATAATAAACAAAGTCTCGATCATCCATTACAAACAGTATTCAAATCCACCAAATATAGCAGGATGACGATGGCACCGTGAGTTGATTATGGTCTTGATAAGTTAATTAATGTCTAATTAATAATTTAGATAACAAGTAAAGCCTAAAGAAAGACCTGGAATATAGGCAGATTTAGCTTTTGTATAATGCCTTTTTAATTATAATGCATATATAGACATGGATATGTATAGTCTATTAAGAAAGAAAGAAAACTAAAGTTGGCTGCATTTTCGAAACATCCACTAGCAAATATAGACCACCTTGGGCCGTGTATTTGAGGAAATTTGTTTTATTTTTCCCTCTACAAGCCACTAGGTATGTACTAGATCATTATATATACAGAGTGGGAGATACTGCTGTAGACTTTACAATATTACATACGAATGTCAAGTGAGTCCAGCTGGGAAGGTCTCACGGGTCGATTTGAATCTTATTACACTTTGTTATAACGGAATTTTATTGAATTGGTAGTGGGAGATACAGACAGATTGATAGATTTATAAAGGAAGAAACACGGGATATGACGCTTTCTCATTTATTCTTCAATAATAAGGAATGGTTACGCTAAGTATTAGATTGCTGATAAATCAAGAGTTTTCTATTTATTACCAGTAGTGTATACAGCAATCATGTATTTACGGTTTCCAAACCAGTGCCTACCCCTATAATTTCAGTAATTATACCTATATATATGGGTCTGATGCATGGCCATGAATCATCAATAAGGAAGATACACAATTATAATCACTAAGATGCGGATAGGTTAATTAAAGGAACCAGAACGGATATCAGAAGTTCTATTTTATATGGCTACAAACGTTTTAATACATTACAATCCCGACATTTCAAATGCTAACATGTTGAAATATGAGATGTTTAAACTAATTTGTTGTCGCGTAAAGGGCAAATATATAATTCCTCGGATAGCAAAAAACCGCCAAAGTAACTCACTCACAACTTCCCTTGCAACCCATTTCTTTTAACAAACAAATGGAAGATACATAAATATGACTTAGGGTCACGATCTGTTAGATAACACAGCATACAACACTTACATATTTTAACGAAACGAATAATATACGGAAATTAATGCCATTGTCTCATTTACGATTCATTTTGAAATGAATCTTGGCTATTGTTTATGTAGTATTTCATAAAATTATTAGGCAATATGTCACAAACAAGAAGACATTTAATCTGGTCTACAGTTTCTTGTAAATGTCATTGGGGTGTTTGGTATTCTAGGAAGCGTTAATAAATCAACTAATGGTTGATAAACCAGCAAAAAAAACCGAAGTGGAAACAGCACGCAAAGTTGTATCAAATCTAAGGTCACGGTTTAAGCGAAACAAATTTAGCTTTAAGATGCGAACAGGAATACTAGATCTTAAAATATCTGTGATATAACTAGGCGAAGTCCAGTAAATCTCGAATGCGTCCAACTATCGATCAAATCAAGATAAGGATGCCTTAAGCAAATACAAATCTGTAAAATAGAAATGTCAGCAAAAACAGGCACGGCTCAAGATTAGCCTATAATCTTATTCGCTCCTACTTTTAAGGTATAATTGAGTTCCACACAGTGGATGGACCTTCTAATCTTATTTGTGCAAGAAACATCACCTAGTACATAACCTAATATAAACGCCTCAACACGAGAAAACATGACATGAAGATAAAAGTATTATTTTGATGGGCATCCAATCGAAAAATCCAAAAAATCAATCCACATATATCTACTGAAATCGAAACAAGATAAAATAACGTACAAGTTGTTACTTGGAACACGAATCAATATTTCATGGCCTCTGTCTGATCAATCAGGTTGATTTTTGAAGCTGTTAACCAGACACTACAGAGGTTTCGTGTTACCAGACAGGTGACATACACTGTTACATAATTTTCATCGCATAATTCCATTTTATATCAAGCTATATAGAAACAGTTTCAGACTGTGGGGAATTCTTAATGCGAAAATAAAAATATTGTACCAGAATCAGATTTCTTTTTTCTTTTTTTGGGAGGGGGGGGGGGGTAGCAAAAATGCGACCGACGGATGCATATGCCATTGACACGAGTGATGCAGTCAAGAGCCGAGAACCACAGGTTCGAGATTTGTAGGTGGTCCGGGGCATACCCCCTCCCACCCCCGAAAATGTTTTGAGTCCTTAAAGTACCCGAAATGCCATTTCCTGGACTCTGAGGGAAGATTTTGCGGAATTCTGATGGTCAGCATACACTTTTAACATGAGTAAACTACGATTTATTATTTCTACTGCGATTGAATATGCAACATATAGATATATTTAAAGATACATTCCCGCGTACAAACTGGGTGATATGATGTTATATTTGGACTAAAAACATATTCAATATTTGGACTAAAAACATATTAAAACTAATTAATCTATCATAATTTTCCTCCTCAAAACATTGATTCGTCAGGCATACCCCTGCTATTAAAATCTATGAAATGAGGTAGTGTTTGTATCACGTTACTTGGCTGATGAGGTACCTAGCAACAGGGGCGAAGCCGGGGGAAAATTCATTGCATATACAAGCATATACAATAATCGCTGATTATTTATCATCGAAGTCCAATAAATTCTCAGATTATCCACTGCATAAATCTATCTCAAAAACTGCTGTACCATCATATTTATCAACATAATATACATTAAGCACCCACTAACGTTGGGAGATCAGACAATCTTTGCGTGCGACCTTTGATGTCACTCGAGCAGACATCCCTAATCGGTTAGGGAAACCCTTACATTTTTGTCCTGAATGCGCTCCATGGCTGCTTTTCAGCGAATCCAGTATTTTTCTAGTAAGATTGAATGTTTCGACTTTCCATATATACTAAAATTGCCATACTTTTATTGGAAATAACCACCCGATAAATACTTTTGTGGAAAAGTATCTTTAAGTTCAATAGATTGCCTTAACATTTCACAATTTAAAGATATTTTACGAATTTCCGAAACAAACTTATCCTTTCTTTTACCAATCCAAAAGATAAAACTGTCCGACTAATATTATTCCTATGACAATCAAGATTATATTTCGAAATATCAAAATCTTCGTAACATGCTCTCGCAATTT